CAAGTAGCGGAATGCTACAGAGGTAAACAAACAATATCATTTGGAAGAGGATTAATAAGTGTTGACATTCATACAAATGAGTAATCCTGTAAACGTAAACAGAATATTTTATATAGATTTTTTTTAATGAAAACTTAAAATCCTGCATTATTTTCCGGACAACCCAATACTTTCCTCTTTCGTTTGGTTCTTCGCAAATACACTCTCTCCTTTTCTTACAATCGCCTTTTCCTCTTTCTGTCTGTCTACTTATTTTTATTTATCTCTGTCTTAATATGTATCGCTCTTTTTTTTATATCTCTCTTTCTTTCTCCTCTTTCTCTCTCGCTCACTCTGTGGATTTATCTACGTATCTATCACTAGCAATTGATTTAAATGTATCTATATCTATATAATTTCCCCTCTTTGTTGGTTCGTTTCACACACAAACACCTTTTCTTCCTGTTACCTCTGCCTACTTTGCTTTGTCTATTAAGCACTAAAATGTATGTAGATGTGTATTGGTACTACCCCTATTGCAGTTGAGCTTTTACTTTTAATTGTGGGTTAGAAGTACCCTTATCAATTCTTTAACGACACGTTGCGTAAACTTTTTTATTGTATCCTAATCAATTAAATTGGAAAATAATTCCATGTGCTTTGTTGTATTAATTTTGGTTTGGTAATCGATCACTTCTTTTTCTCAGATGGGTGCAGTCGGACAAGGCAATGTTTATTACATGTGCCAAAAGAACGAAGACGGTTTGTTGGGGCCCAGCATGTACAGGTGCCCTTATGGAAAGAAGTTCGACAAGGACAGCTACAGCTGTTTGTAGTCTTGTACTTACAAGTTAATTTTACTTTAATACAGTCATAACAATAAAGGAATTGTTGGTTTAAAATGACGCATTTTTAATAATCCCAAGATGTTTCATCATAGTGAGAACGTTTGAACGGTTGTTGGCAGAGTCAACACGAAACAAGTGGAGGAATGTGTAAGGAATTGCATAATTTATTATCGCGGGGGGAGGGCTCATATATTCTAAAAGGAATAGGATCATCAGAACAGCGTTATCTGATATGCATCCCCCTTCCTCGGATCTGGAAAAAGTTTTAAAACTAGTTAGAACTAATTAGAAAAACAACAGTCGTTCCGGCATTTTCCGCGATAAGGACACGGCAAACTTTTTTATCTCGGCAAATAAAAAGGACAGGGTAGTCTCTCAGTACATAGATACACGGAGGATCGAATATGCTCCTCGCCACATTAACTCTCCTGGTGAGTTCTTCATTGAATTATATTTCAAACATATTGTACAATTTAAAATAATTTCCTTTCGTGTTTATTTTACTTTCAGGTCGCAGGCGTTACAGTTTCAACATGGTTGGTATCAAGGTTTTACTACTTTAAACAGTATGAAACTGCTTAAGATTTCGGCCTGGCGGATCGGACCATTGTGTCAGTCTAGCCGAGGTCTACGATGAACCTGCAGTTTGACCTGATCATCCTGGTCCGCCTATCCTCGCTTGTTTTTTGACGATTCTGATCGTGTTTTTGTTGCAACGGCAAGCCAAACCAGACAGGCAGACCAGGTTGACCATAAACTGGCCCAGACAGTTCAATTCGAGTACCTTTTCGACAAAAATCATTGCTGTTTAGTAAGTCATCGATTTTTTGATTTTTTTAAGCTTTTCCTGCGAAGGACCGGGCGTTGTACCAGCTCCCCATCCGAATAAATTCGTCTTCTGCACGTACAACGAGGATGGAGACCTAGTCGCCCGTCTTCTCCCCTGTTCCGATGGAACCACCTTCACTGGCAACGACAAATGGGAAATGTTGTCCAAACAGGTAATTCATATTTAGCATATTTTGGAAGAAAAATGAAGAAAAAACATCAACACTCAAAAATATTCAGCATTAGTTGAAACCCCAATGGAGGTGAAGCGTTTTTCTTCTTCCCTAACGATCCCTAACCAGCCACATAAATTCACAAAATATGGCGGTGTTTTATGAATTAATTTCTTGAATTTCTCTATTTGAAAGAATCTAGATAAAAACGACAGGAAAAAATACTATGATAGCTTGAAACTACTTTGTCCTATCATCAATAAAATAAAATAAAATAAAATAAAATAAAACACACTGATGCTGTGCATCTGGTAAACTATGATTTGACAAATCTATCGATTCATAGATCTTTCTCACCACTTGACGAATTAAAATAGATAAAAATGCCTCCAAAATACTAAGTAATGTTTAAGCAATTGCAAGAACAACGACTCAATTAAATTAAAACAGGATAAAAACCCAGCAGGTTGATTCACTTCGAACTTTGCTTGTGTCTATAATCAGATTTGTCAAATATTAATGGTTACCATCATCTTGGTCCGCCCGTTCTCGCTTCTTTTGTCAGTTACACGTTTCATTTTCATTGGTTAGACCGTCTGAGATGGACAAATGGGGAATGCAGCGAGACCAGTCGGACCAAGATGGTATGATATCGAGCTAAAGGTCATCGGGTCAATTGTTAATTTGTTACATATACTGTTATTAACAAGTACTTTTCATCTCTTTTGAAGGATTGCGTTGTCAGAAGAAGGAGAGATGTGGACGGCTTGGAAACTTCGCAAACAGAAAACAAAACTGAATCCGTTTTGAAAGAACTTTCGACAGAAACAAATCTTCAGACTGAAGGAGAGGATTCAACAGGTGTTAAGGAAAACAAAACTGAATCCGTTTTGAAAGAACTTTCGACGGAAACAAATCTTCAGACTGAAGGAGAAGATTCAACAGGTGCTGCGGAAAAAGTGACCAGTACCGCCGAAGAAACCGAAGCGCAGACGGATAAGCTTTCGACTGGAACACAGGCTTCACAGACGGACGACCAGACCGAGAAAGAAGCAGCTACGACCGAGAATGCCGAAGAGTCGTCCGACTCTCCGACGACCGGGTCCGCTTCTGCAGAACCATCTTCAGAGTCAACCACGATGACGCCTAACTCAAACGAAACGAAACACGTCGAATGTTGGTACCCGGGCGTGACTTGCGCTAGCTGTACCGAAGCAGCTTTCTGTGTCGGTACGGGTACGCTCAAAAACGGTCAACGCGTCGTCACACCGGTCACGACGATCACGTGCAGACCTGGCGAAGTGTGCGTCGAAATGCTCGGCTGCGTTTCCGACAAAAACAGATTCTGTACCAAAGGCGAGTTTACATGCACTGACCAAGGACTCTTTCCCGATCCGTACGACTGCAGGGTAAATATGAAGAAATAATACATAAACAGTATTGACTTTTAATTGTTTTCCTTAGATGTTCCACAGCTGTGCATTCCTGAACGGCGCTTTCCTCCAAGACGACGTTCGATGCCTTGCAGGAGCCTATAGTTCAAAAACGGGTACTTGCGGCTATCCTCTTAACTCTGCGACCTGCTTAAACAAACCTGTTCCTCATTGCAAGCAAGAATTCGAGGTATGCCGACCTCTTAACACTTAACAGAGTTTAAAAAATTTTGTTTTAACTTAATTGAAAAATCAATTTGTAGGTTGGAGCAGTGCCGAGCAACCCGAATCTGTACTATGTCTGCGTGAAAAAGGGGAAAACTCTATCACCCAGCTTGTTCAGATGCCCAGGAGGAAGGAAGTTCACAACTGCGCTTTTCAGATGCGTGCCCTAGAAATATACAAACGGCAAATGTTTTGTTTCTTTTATAGATTGCTCCTGTAATCTTTCGGGGAAAATGCTAACCGTGCCAAATTGGTACGTTTTTGCAGGAAATTAAAATAAATAAATAAAAAAAAACTGTTGGAATTTTTATTTTCCAGTGTTTATCTCATATCAAAAGATGTGTAAATACACATACGGTGACGGCAGTTTAATTGCCTTCTTTTTTGATCTGTGGAAAATGAAAACAAGATAAAACTAAAAGTTATAAATGGGCCCTACCATTGACTCATCCTTGTTTTCCACCGTGGTATGTAAAATTGGCCAAAATATATTCCCATAAAAGAAAGTCACGTTCAAAACGTTTTCTAAGACCACCCCGGCCGAAAAGGAAATCCTAACATAAAAATATCCTAAATTTTTCAAAGATAATTTAGTAATGTGCAAAAAAAATACAAGATTGTTTAGAAGTGCATTGTGCCCACATAAAATATGAAACAAACTATCAATAAACTGAAAACAAACAAAAAATTAATGAGCAATTAAAAAAATTACTCATACCCCATAATACTAATATTGTACTAAAACGTTGTTCATCTGACTGATTCATACGTAAATGTTTGACATAGATGGTGAAAGAGAGAGAGAGAGAGAGAGAGAGAGAGAGAGAGAGAGAGAGAGAGAGGGAGAGAGAGGGAGGGAGAGCTAGCAAGAAAGAAAGAGATAGATAGTTAATGATTGAATAAATAAATGAGAGAAAGGAGAGAGAAAATAGAATATGAAAAAGAAAAGACCGCGGGAAAGAAAGAGAGTTAGGGAGTTAGAGAGAGATTAAGAGGAGATGAGAGAGATAAGAGGAGAAAAAGTGAGAGAGAGAACAGGAGAGAGAGAGAGAGAGAGAGAGAGAGAGTGAGTGAGAGAGAAAGAGAGAGAACAGGAGGTAGAGAGTGAGTGAAGGAGAGTTAGCAAGAAAGAAAGAGATGGATGATTAATGATGGACAGAATAAATGAGAGAAAGGAGAGAGAAAATAGAATATGAAAAAAAAGACTGCGGGAAAGAAAGAGAGTTATGGAGTTAAAGAGAGAGATGAGAAGAGAGAGAGAGGTTGAGTGAGAGAAAAAGAGAGAGAACTGGAGATAGATAGTGAGTGAGAGAGAGTCAAGGAGAGTTAACAAGAAAGAAAGAGATAGATAATTAATGAATGAGTGAATAAATGAGAGAGAAAATAGAAGTTGAAAAAGAAGATACAGAGGAAAAGAGATAGAGCGAGTAGAAGAGAGAGTGAAAGGAGATGAGAGTAGAGAGGAGAGAGAGAGAGAGAGAGAATGAGTGAGAGGGGGAGAGAGAACATAGAACTAGATATATATATATAAGAAGAGACAGAGTTTAGCAGGCTAAGAAAATATAAATAGTAGGTATTAAAGTTGGAAAGCCAGAGCAATGCAGAGGAATAAATAAATAGAAATCACTGCGAGAGATAGCAGGAAAGCAAGAGATAGATACAATGACGTAGTGAAAGAAATTACTTAATAAAGTAATGAATTAATTAAAGTTAATGATTTGGTGAGAGTATAAGAAAAGGAGAGACGAAGTGCGAATGTGCTTGTTTATGCGTTCAGAACAAAAGATAATCCGAAAGTATGCTGATCTAAAGTTCTAGAAATTTTATATCTAGCACTTGCTTAATGTTTGTAAAGTGATATAACACATTTAATTTACATATTTCAACATCTTTCTCGAAGATTCTCCAGCCGAGATCTTGATCCTTTTTCTCAATAAATTCAGTTGAACTTAAGGGAATTAAGCAGGTGTATTGAACTAGAATTTTTTTTTAGATTAATAGAGGAAAAAATACAACAACTTTAAATGCCGGCCTCGGTGCGCCGGTGTTTTTGAAACAAAGCCTATTTGTAAGTATGTCGGGTTCGTAGTAGGGCAGCTGGATTCGAACCTGGGACCTTTACCTTACAATGATGAGCACCGTTTCAATGCCTAAACCGTTGCGGCCACTGACGCCCCTAAAATGTTACCATCCTTTAAATGGCATGATGAAATCATAACAAACTGAGTCTGTGCATTTAGTTATCACCAGGGCAATTAATTTTCAAATGACTATTGTTCTTGTGTGCTATTTTTTTTTTAAATTTGTCCAGGATGTTTCATTGGTTCAAATCATCTTTTAGTATAACAATAATAATCGTGTTTTATTTTCGAACTTAAAAAAAATTTCTTGCCATGAACTAATTGTTCGTTTGGTGGCTTTTAGCATAATCTATTAATTTTATTAGAAGTTAATATTTATTACGTCACAAGTGGAGCTGCTGATGTGGGTGGGTTTTGTTCTTATCTACACGAGAATTCGTCTTGTGCAACGACAGCTACATTTGATTCTTTTTTCTTAGCTTTAACCTTAATAATTTTATAATAAACAAATAAAGAAAACAACCATACAGAATTTCTAAAATTTACTTTGATATAGTATTTTTACTATATCAACTACTATATCTTTTGAAGATGAATTGCAGATTTCAGGGTTTATTCAATACCCAGAGGGAAATTGCCATAACTGTATGATGGTTAAATATTTTTCTGTAAAGTATTTTTTTAAAATTAAAGTCACGATATTTGATCAAATTTTAAAAAGTAGGAGGGAGTTTTGTTCAGATTTCCTACTGTGGTCCAAATTAAATAATTGATCCATAATTGGTGATCATTACTGCCCTTTTCTTTAGAAAAAAAAGAGAACAAAATCGACTAGTAAACCTATAGCAGTAGTGGTTTTCATTAATTTCCAAAGATACAAAATTTACATTATTTTTAGGTAATTTTAGTTCAGTTCTTATTTTCTGAATAGAAAGCGTACAATCGTTAGTTTTATTGCTTCCACAGGTTAAACATTTTATAATTTACCGAGTTCTACGATTTTCTATACTGACAATGTAGATTAAGCCACATCTAAAGCTCAACCAGTGAGGCCTTGTGAGAAAATAGAAAGGGAGAGAGAGAGAGAGAGAGAGAGAGAGAGAGAGAGAGAGAGAGAGGGTGAGGGATGGAAAGACAAAGTTGTATGAAAGAAAGAAAGAGAGGGATACATATAGAGAAGGAAAGAAATAAGAATAAGTAAACGGACAGAAAGAGGAAAAAGGAATTTTAAGAGAAAGAGAACGTATGTGGGAAGAACAAAAAAGAAGATGAAAATAAATACATAGGTAGATATAGACTTATGAATAGACAAATACAAATAGGTAGGCAGACAGAAAGAGGAAAAAGCGATTGTAAGAGAAAGAGAGAGTGTATGTGAAAAGATCAAAAAGAAGAGGGAAATAGATAAATAGATAGGCAGATAGATAGATAGAGTATCGGTAGAGATGTAGAGATAGAGATACATACACTGGCAAAAAACTCTACCCAATTGATTTTTGTTCATTTTTTCAATAAAAGAAAATTCTGTACTTAATTTTTCTGTTTTTGTCAATAAATATTTGTTTATGGTATGTTTTAATGTGTGAATGAATTAATAATACATATCAATCTTAAATATTTTTCAATGTACAGATGTATTTTTAATTGGTTTGTCCTCCTTTTTTTTCGTAAGTATTCAACTACATAATTAACGATTAATATTACCAATTATAAAATATTCATATAGATGAAATCACGTAATATTCAATAAGGGAGATAAAGGAAAAAGTTTGAAGTTTGAATTAATCTTTACGTGGAATAACGCATTTGCGGGTATGAGTAAGGAAATAAATCCTTGTTACGTAAGTTACATAAGAAGAAAAATCTGTTAGTATATCGTAAAAGACCTGATGTACACATTATGTTTTACATGTCTTAGGTGAAACGGTGATATAACTTATTTGTCATTCAAGATAACAATTTCGCATAAAAGAATCGTTACAGCTATTCAAGTACCATTCGCTTACGGACAGGAATCAGGAATAGACAATGGCATTGACAACCCTGATTTTCGCTTGTATACTTGCCGTAAGTAGAAAATTTATTTATTGTGTTTTTTAAATATTAAAATCGGTTTTTCGTTTTAGCTGGGCATTGCTCAGGATGATGCAAAGGCGGTCGCGACCACTGATGCACCTGCACCCGCAGAGGAGGAAGCCGAGATGCCGACGTTACCCTGCGTCACCCCAGGTTTCGTCTGCAGCGACTGCAAGCACCAAGCCGTTTGCATCGGAGACGGCGAAGGCGGCTTCAAGCAGATCCAAAACGCCTGCCCCGATGGAACCCACTGCGTCGGAAACGTATGCGTCGCTGGGGCCAAATGCAACTACAGGCCTTTCTCTTGCTCGGACGAAGGATTCTTCCCGGATCCTTTCGACTGCACGGTACGTACAAAAACAAATCTCCCTAGAAACTCAATCTCAAAGAATTTCTTTCTCGCAGAAATATCACGTCTGCGTTAGGAAGCCCGACGGCACCTTCCAGCAGATGCCTTTAGACTGTGACGGCAAAGGTTCTTACGATGCAACTTCAGGTTCCTGCGGTTTCCCGCTCAACTCGACCGCCTGCCTAGAAGGCCCGGTGCCGAGGTGCGTCGAACCTCTCCAGGTCGGAGTGCTTAAGGCCGATCCCTCACTTTACTATCTCTGCACCGAAGACGACGACACCACCGGACCCGAGCTCTTCAAATGCGCCGGAGGCAAATTGTTTGATGCTAAGAAACTTTCCTGCGTTGCTGGCAAGAAGTAATACTATTTCTTCCTATCCTATCTATCCGGCCTGTATTAATATTCTTTAATTTTTGTAGGTCCAAAAAGTAAACTTGGCCGAAATAGCATGAGGAACTTTGATTTTGTACAATGACTAACACCACTGTAAATTATTATAAATAAAGCAATGCACCTTGAATAAAGTTTGTTTTCTATATGCATTATACATTTACCTCTTACTTAATAAACCATCTCACAACCAAGATTTGCCAATGAAGTCTACCCAAATCCAACCATAATTTGTAATATATGTACAAAACATATATTACATACAACATATATACTGGTCTGAAATGAAACTCACATAAATTTCCATAGAATTTTCGATTTTTTAAAATAATGTTCCCTAAAATAACAATAATTTCATTTTTAACACAAATTTTCATTCTTTGTAAAAACATTTTTCTCAGATTAAAACTAAAATCACAAAATTAAAACCGAGCGAAACCTGGCAAAATATCTAATTTGAATCTTCATACACTCGGCAATTCTTTCTATTAAAACGATCAATTAAACCATATTTACATACAAAATCATTATTATCAAATAAGTAATAAACATATTGTATTGAAATTTCCTTCCAAGCCCATATAGACGTGCTGTTCTCATCCAGGGTCAAATTAATCAAATTTAAATCACCAACAGATCAGTCAGATCATCATCAGAATTGACAACAAAACCCTTCGAAAAATAGTTAATTTAATTTTTAAGTCTAAAATTTTGGAAAGATGTTTTGGTGGGAAACGAATTCAACTGGCCTCTAAACTCAACTTGTCTGTAAGCTCACGGGCCTCTAAGCTCCAATGGCCTGTAAGTTCAAATGCTTTCTAAGCTCAACTCGCATCTAAGCTCAACTGTCTTCTAAGATCCTATGCTGTCCTCTAAGCTCAGTTTTTCATTAAAGCCAGTTGGCGAGGGTTTAATTTTCTATTCAACTCAATTGTTCTAAGGTGAACTGTTTTCTAGATTCAATTGTCCAATAAGCTCAGTTTTCCATTAATGTCTACTGCCCAGGCTTTAATTTTCCATTGTGTAATGGAAACTGACCTTAGAGAACACCTGAGCTTAGAGGCCAGTTGAGCTTAAAAGCCAGGTGAACTGAAAGGAAGGTTAAACTTAGATCAGTTGACTTTAATTGAAAACTAAGCGTCGAGAACATTTGGGCTTAGAGGCCAGTTCAGCTTAGAAGCCATTTGAGCAGAAAGGAAAGATAAACTTAGAGCAGTTGACTTTAATTAAAAACTGGGTTTAAAGGCCCGTTGAGCTTAGAGGCCAGTGGAGCTTAGGGGACCGTCGAGTTGAGTGGAAACTTAAACACAGGGCAGTTGACTAATAGAAAACTGAGCTTAGAGATAATTTTCTAAACAGTCAACAGTCCTGGGTTTAATTTTCCACTTAAATGGATTCTAAGCTCAACTCTCCTTTAATCTCAGTTTTCCATTAAAGTTAACTCTTTAGGTTAACTCTCAGATCAACTGACTCTCAGCCTAGGCACTTAACTGTGGGATTGGGGGCGAGTAGGTTGACTTGGATGATTCTGGGGATGGAATTTAGTAGAATCCCAGTAGGCTTTAATGGAAGTAGTAGAGTGGACGATTTGTTAGAGTGGAACTTCAGGAAGCCCGAAGTAATACGACTTCATTCTAAGATGAAGTATTTCTGAAATGAAATTGTTGATTTTACCTTATTATATAAAAAGGTAACGCCGCTCGTTAAATCTGCATTAATAGTTTCGAAAATGTTAGTATTGAAGCAGGCCTAAAAAGATCAATGAATAACTTTCCTCTTGGTTGGGCCCTACTTTATTACAAGAAAATAATTTTTTTATTGTTTATTATTATTCAATATTTTTTCGCTTATATTCTAAGATTGTTACATAGCTAATAATGAAGTCGTCTAGCTACCTGGCTGATTTATCGTAACGATGGTCTGTTCTCTGTTTTAAGTCAACAAAGTGCCACAAATTATGCTCAAGGTTCGCGTGATTGTTTTCTACCAGACTCACGGGTCGATAAAAGACGTGGAAATTAAAACTTATACTTCATATTCACATATTAAATTTGTACTTTAAAATTGGATTTTGTGTAAGTGACTACGACAAATTTAAAGGTTAAAATACATCTATGGTTTTTTTTTCTCTACAAACTAGCTAATATAGCGTGTAAAATACCGAATGATTTATAAGTGAGCTTATTTTCTAAGTAAAACTGGTATAATAATTTATAAAAAAAAACTACATTCTTAATGTTCTTCACCACCCTCAACCTATTATTAAACATAAACCATAAAATAGACAAAACATAAATAATTCATTTCACATACGGGGTTCCTACATTTTTCAATACTGAACAACTATAATTTTAAAAAAAATAAGGTAGTTAGAAATTCACTATTTTTCGTGGTCCGCCTGACCAATTAATATCATTCAATTAATTAAGGTTTTTAGTTAAGATAAAAAAGTTAGTGTCACGAGCGGGATTCGAACCCACGGCCTTCGGCTTAATACGCCGCTGCTCTACCACTTGAGCTATCGTGACCTCGATCCACTCGCACACTAACATCCCATCTCAACCCCACCTTTTGAATTTTCTCTCCTCTTTGCCATTTTTTAACTAAAAACCTTAATTATTTGATAGCGGTCAAGCGTCAATTGGTCAAGCGGACTACGAAAACTAGTGAATTTAATAAGTTGGAATGAATTATAATTTCTCTAAAGCTCTCCGTGGCCATTTCATTTGTCGCCGAGAATCAAACAGATGACACGACATTTGAAAAATGGCAAAAATGAGGGAAAATTCAAAAGGTGGGGTTGAGATGTTAGTATCCGAGTGGATCGAAGTCACGGTAGCTCAAGTGGTAGAGCAGCGGCGTATCTAGCAGATGGTCGTGGGTTCGAATCCCGCTCCTAACACTGACTTTTTTATCTCAACTAAACACCTTAATTAATTTGTTTTTTAAATTTTAAACTTAAAAGTTCTACTTAGTGTTGAGGATGTCGCGCGTGGTATGCCACTAGATGATGATGGGCGTCCGATCAGGTAGGGGGCTATTGCCATCGGAGTTCCGTACGAAACACTGCGAGACGTTTAAGAGAAATTGGGTACTACCATAGAAGGCTCGGTTTTGGACGCCCTGGGGGATCAGAACCACAGACTGTTTTTTGACTTTGAGAATTTTGCGAAACCACCACCTTACTGTTCGAGCGATTCATCAGCTACAGGAAGTTCGAGGTGTCCAAATTTCTGAACGCACTGCTTGAAATCAGTATGACTGTTAGTTCGCCCCGTAAGAATTGACCAGAACGCACAGAAGAAGAAAGAAGAAAATAAATTGTATTCTGGAGCTTGTCACGATAACTCAAGTGGTAGAGTAGCGCCGTATCAAGCCGAAGGTCGTGGGTTCGAATACCGCTCGTGACACTGACTTTTTATCTCAATTAAATACCTTAATTAATTGAGTAATTTATACATTTAAAAAACTTGTATATCAGATAATTAGGGAAATATTATTGAGAGGTTTCTCCCATGAAGTGAATCTCGCCATTGGGAAGAACTTGTCAACGAATAATTTTCTATGCTTTACTTTTTAATTTTTTATTTTACAGTTTGCTCACTTAAACATTACAGTTTTTTACATTTATTTGCTATAATAAAATAAACATGTTCTTTCATAGTTGTAGAGATTTGTATGTTAGATAATTAAGGAATAATTCGTTCCCAGCAAGAGAATCTCTTCATTGGAAAAACTTGCCAATGAATACATTTCCTAAAAAAATAAGTTCTTTCGTAGATTTATGGATTTTTATGTTAGATTAACTACTAATTCGTCCAGATTGGAAAGTTTCTCCCATCTATAGAATCACTGTGTTGTACTAAGTATAAAAATTGGATGAATCAATGGTGAGTTTCTATTGATGGGATGAATTTCCTAACGCATACTTTTCTGTCTACAGAATCTCGTAATTGGGATGAACCTGCGAACGACAATTTTCTGTGCTTTATTATAATTAAAAAATAAGTTCTATCATAGATTAGGATTTGTATTTTAGGTAATTAAGGAACAATTCGTACTCATTGCTCCTTCTCGTCATTCTCAACAGTCTCAGGTCAGGCTATCAACGAATACCTTTCTATTATATAGAATATTACAGTCAATTCATTAATGTATTGATTTATATGTTAGATAATTATTTATTAATTCGTTCTCGTTCGTACTTGTCTACCATCTAGAGAATATCGTCATCGCGATGAATTTGCATACAAATACTTTTCTATTCTGCACCATTAAAACTGAAAAATAAAAACGTCAATTCGTTAATTTATGGATTTTAGAAAATTAAATATCTATTCGTTCTTATTGGAAAGTTCAACCCAAAGAGAATTATATCATTGGGATGAACCTCTCGACAAACCATTTTCTATGTTTTATTACAAGTAAAAAATAAGTTCTTCCATAGATGTAAGAGCTTTGTATGTTAGATAATTAATTAAGGAATAACGTTCTCATTGTGAAGCACCGCCAATCAAGAGATCTCGTCATTGGGATGAACTTTCCGACAAATATTTTTCTATGAAGTACAATTATAATTAAAAAATAAGTCAATTCTTTAATTTATAGTTATGTAATTAGTTTAATTAGAAAATGAGTTTAAAATTTACTATTATTAAACAATAGGTTAATATAAATATTTTATAATTAGATATTCACTTGATGGGAGAAACTTCAATAATACCATATTTGCTTAATTCTCTGACTTAATAGTTCCTAATTTTATTAAAAGACTTACTTTTTTAAATTATAATTATCGGCATAAAAAAATCATTGGGACTTTCACACTTCACAATAATTGATCAAAAATTAACTACCATTTCTCTAGATGGAAGAAACTTCCCCATAATTGATCAAAAATTATCTATCAATCGATTAATTACTTATTAATTATATTGTAAAGCGTATAAAAATATTTGTTTGTGATTTCATCCCATCCCGACAACTTTACCATAGACGCAATGTAATATTTATATTTTGTATAACTAAGAGATTCTCTACATGGAAGAAACTTCGCAATAATTGATCAAAAATTATCTACCAATCGATTAATTACTTATTAATTATATTGTAAAGCGTATAAAAATATTTTGTGATTTCACCACATCCAGAACCTTTACCATCGACGCAAAGTAAAATATATATTTTTAATGTTTTTTATTTCTACGAATATAATATTTTAAAATATTTTTTTGCATTGTATTGCATATATTTTTGCAATATAAATTCACTTTTTTCCATGTCCTACATGTTTTTGTTAATTTAAACAATGTTTGTAAATCCCAGGCCCTGAAGATGATCTCAATAAAGATGGAAACGTTGGCACGATAAAAAAAATGTTTTTCTGAAATCTACATCACACCAGACCGCATCTCACGATTTCTGAATAATGATCGACTAACGGTCACTAATCTCCACACATATGATTCGAATATTTTAATATTATTTGTAGCCCATGCGCGGCATCTTACAACAGACAATATCGTCTGAATAAAGTGATATTTTTATGCTAACGTTGCCTATTCGGACTCCACATTCGAGAGTCGAGGGGAGATCATCAAGAAAGAGAGCGAACAGAACTGGACTGAGTAGACAACCCTGCCTAACCTAACCTCAACAAAATTGGATAAACCTTTACGCCCTCGGACCTCTGTTGCTGTTTGTGAGAAAAGGGATTTTAGGATATTCACAATTTTGGAAGAGATGCCTTAGTTACTAATTTTGAACAAAAGTCTAAGATCTACACTATCAAATGCGGCTTTTAAAGTCCACGAAAAAAAAAACAAGAAACTTTTTGTTTAGGCCTGGCCAGTTTGATATTAATGATGTTTAACAGTACAAGTAGATTATCACTTGTAGAGGAACCTTTACGGAAACCCATTTGACATTCATTCAATAAACTCTTTCTTACTACGAAGGCATCAATGCGGGATAGGACGAGAGCAGAGAAAATTTTGGCGATCGATGGCAGGAAATACCTCTATAATTATTTACATCATTGACATCGCCACTTTTGAATAGGGGGAAAATGATTAATTTCGAAAAGGATGGAGGAGTGAGACCCGAGGAAAATACAGAATTAAAAAATTGGAGAAGGTATTCACGAAAGACAGGCGGGGAATTTTTATAGAATTCGTAAGGAATTCTGCAGGGACCTGGGGATTTATTGTTTTGAAGCCTGGCAAGGATAGATTCCAGCTCTAAAGAGATAAATATTTATATTTTGTACAACTAGGAGGCTCTCAAGATGGAAGAAACTTCCCAATGATTAATCAAAAATCGTCTACAAATCGATCAATTATTTATTTATTAAATTTGTAATGCGTAGAAAAATATTCGTTTGTGATTTCACCCCATCCAGAACCTTTACCATCGACGCAAAGTAATATTTATATTTTGTACAACTAGGAGATTCTCTAGATAGAAGAAACTTCCCAATAATTGATTAAAAATCATCTACAAATCGATCAATTTTTTATTTATTAAATTTGCAAAGCGTATAAAAATATTCGTTTGTGATTTCATCCCATCCAGACAACTTTACCATCGACGCAATGTAATATTTATAACTAGAGCATACATAACAACTCAGAGATTTTCTAGATGGAAGAAACTTCTCAATAATTAATCATAAATTATGTGCTAATAAAATGTTTAATTTTAATCGATGAATATTTCGAAAGCATAGAAATGTATTCGTTTGGTAGTTGATCCTATCAAGAGAACTTCGTAAAATTAATATTTTGTCCAATTGCGATATTCTCTAGATGGGAACATCCCAATAATTAATCCATATTTATCATGACCTACAATTTTCCGGTATAACAGCATTTTTATTAAATTTCTATGTTCTTGTTGGCTTTATTTCAGGGTAAATTATCCATTTGTGTAATCCAAGCTTAGATCATTCCCTGCTCGCGAAATTACGGTCGATCTCACTCAACAAAAGCTATGACCTCAGCGAGGGAACTTCAAGTTTGAACAGCTTAGCGACGTTCACATAACATTATTTGTGATGAGATAACAACCCAGTATAAAAAGCTGTACAAAAAACACATCTCTCATTTCCCTGAGCTAATCAAGATGTACAAAACCCTGACATTCGTTGCCCTATTTTTACTGGTGAGTAAGACGATTATTTTTTGGTAAAACTTAAGTTTTATCGGGCTTTGTTACAGGTGGGCTCAGCCCTGGCCGATAAAGCCGAATGCCTTAAAGGAGGTCCCATGTGCAGCGACTGCGATCACGAAGCGGTCTGCGTCGATTTGGGTTTCGGTCTGATGTTCAACCGAGTCGAAAACACGTGTGCCGAAGGATCGAAGTGCGTCAATGGTTCCTGCCAAGTCGGTGCCAAGTGCAACTACAAGCCATTCACCTGCTCGGACGTCGGCAGCTTCCCGGATCCTTACGACTGCAGGGTAAAGATTTCATAACTACATTAAACCCACGAGCTTTGACGAATTTTTATTAAATTTCTGTTCTTGGCCAAGTTTTAGCAATAAAACATCAGAATTAATTGCTAAAAGTCATCCTAGCTATCAAAACAGTTATTTTCCACAGAAAAGTGTATTTTCTGATAATTATTTTTGAAAGGTTTACCACGTGTGCTCGGTGAAAGGCCCTGGCCAATATGTCGGCCTGAGGCTTCGCTGCTTCAGCGGCAGCTACGATTCTTCATCTGCCACCTGCGGCTTCCCCTTAACCACAGATGCCTGCCTTAACGAACCCGTGCCCAGGTGTTTGGCTCCTCTTCAAGTAAGTACCGAGTAAAGTCCCGAAAGTGTACAAGGCCTTTATTTATTAATATTTACAGCTTGGAGCATTGCAATCCGACCCGTCTGTCTACTACCTCTGCGTCGACGACGGTAAGACCCTCGCTCCAGAGATGTACAAATGCACCGGCGGAAGAGTCTTCGACGAGTCTAAGATGGCTTGTACTGCCACCAAAAAGTAAGTTATTTCATTAAACTATCGGTTTATTTAAAATATTTAACAACTTGTTTGTTGTTTGACATTTAAAAGTTGTTATCTCAATCAACTAAATTACCAATAATTTCCTCTTTTTCGTTTTTAGATCAAAGAAAGTGAAATAATCTGAGGATCTTCTACACTTGCGACGTTTTATATGTTGTTTTTGTAGTTTTATTGAAACTGTCTAAATAAATTAAGAAATATACTCGCTAAGATTTTTCTTTTTTTTCCTTTACAGTTCTTTAAAGTTGGATCATCATTTAAAACATGTTGAGTTCAAGTTTTAAAACGAATGAATCATTTCATCGTTGGTCAAAGTGATTTATTAAGTTAACATAAGTTTTATTAGAACAAGAGTTGTCAATAATTATTATCGACTGTTCTTGTTTTAACATTCCTCTAATAATAAATTCAACCTTCTTCTAACCTCTGTTATCCTCTAATCCCCTAAGCTTAGTTGTCTACTAGAGTCGACTGTCGGGATTTAACTTTGCTTTCAGTTCAACTGGCTAAAAGCTCAACTGCCCTATGAGCTTAACAGTAATCTAAGCTCAACTGCCCTATAAGCTCAACACTACTATAAGCTCAACTGTCCTATGAGCTCAGCAGTCCTCTAAGCTCAACTGTACTATGGGCTCAACAGCCCTCTAAGCTCAAGTGTACTACGAGCTCAACAATCCTCTAAGCTCAACTGTACTATGAGCACAACAGTCCTCTATGCTCAACTGTACTATGGGCTAAATAGTCCTCTAAGCTCAAATGTCCTATGGAATCAACAGTCCTCTAAGCTCAGCTGTACTATGGACTAAACAGTCCTTTAAGCTCAACAGTCCTCTAAGCTCAACTGTTCTATGGACTCAACAATCCTCTAACTCAACAGTACTATGAGCTCAACAGTCCTCTAAGCTCAACTGTACTATGGGCTAAACAGTCCTATAAGCTCATCGGTACTATGAGCACAACAGTCCTCTAAGCTCAACTGTGCTATGGGCTAAACAGTCTTTCAAGCTCAATTGTCCTATTAGCTCAACATTCCTCTAAGCTCAACTGTACTATGGGCTCAACAGTCCTCTAAGCTCAACTGTCCTATGAGCTCAACAGTCCTCTAAGCTCAACTGTACTATGAGCTCAACAGCCCTCTAAGCTCAAGTGTACTACGAGCTCAACAATCCTCTAAGCTCAACGCTCAACAGTCCTCTAAGCTCAACTGTCCTATGAGCTCAACAGTCCTCTAAGCTCAACTGTACTATGAGCTCAACATTCCTCTATGCTCAACTGTACTATGAGCTCAACATTCCTCTAAGCTCAACTGTACTATGAGCTCAACAGTCCTCTAAGCTCAACTGTTGTATGTGCTGAACAGTCCTCTATGTCCAGTTGTCCATTAAATTCAACTGATTTAAGTTTAACTTTCCTCTAATCACAACTGTCCTCTAAGCAAAGTTGTTCTCTAAGCTCAGAGATCCTCAGTTCAGGTTTCATTATTCAACTGCACTGGGTTTTACTTTACTATCACCTCAATTGGCTTTTTCCCTCTAACCTGGGGCTTCCCAAACTGTGGTCCGCGGGGCTGCGACCCCGACTTAAAATTAATAATTACAAAAATAAACTTAGAATGAATAAATAAAATAAAAACTAATAATAATGAGTACTGAAACTAAAGTTTTTATTTTTATTTATTCATTTTACGTTCATTTTTGCACATGTTAGAAAAATAGGTATGATAAGTGATAAATGATTCGACGGGACTTCGATCGGACGATAGGATTCCCAGGGATTTCATTTTTGGTACTGGGGTCCTTCATTATCGGGAACTGGTGCTTCTGGAACACCCTGGATTTTTCCCATGTTGTATATCAAAAGCCATTGTTTATCGAAAACGTGATTGAAGCCAAATATCTCTCGGGAGTGCACTACATATCTGTGTCATTCTCATTGATCTACTCCAATATGGATCGGTGGTCGAAGTCAGGATCCTTCACCTACACAGCCAGGAAAGCGCCGGATTGCAATAGATGAAGCGGAAAAACAACCTTCCGATTAGAACATTACTGACAACAAGCAAAATGAAGAACAGCCTTCAGATGAAGCACCTCAGCAGGATCCAGTATGGTCAAATTTTACAAACAGCCAGTGGAAGTAGTGTATCTAAAAAGCGTAAGTACAACAGCTACTTCGATTTGGGATTTATAAAGGCTGACGAGGGTAAAGCTCAGAGTGTGATTTGCGCGAAAGTCCTTCCATATAGTTATTTGTTCGGTGCCACTATCAAACACTACTGTCAAAACACGGATACTTTTTTATCAAATGTGTGATGAATCGCTGGTTTCTCGCATCCAACACAATTCATTTTCTAACCAGATCTACGAATCAACTGATGTCGCGGGGTTGGCTATTTTATTGACCTTTGTTCTTTATACTCGGGATGTTTTGAGGAGGATCTTCTCTTGCGAACCACTTCCTGCCAATGCAACAGTTGCCAAAATATTCCGTTTGTTGTTTGAGTTTTTCACGACTAACGAAATTCCACGGCGCTTTTCGGAGCAGTCTCTCGTTCAGCCTTTATGCAGATGCAGGAGAAATGCCTTTAAGTTTCAGACGTGAATTTCTTGATTTGAAGTTTTTTGCTAAAATCACTTCCTCTAAGTCACATCCACTAAATCGTCTATTTCCAGGGACTAGTCTGATATTTGACAGCTCATCCCGTGATTCTATACGAAAAACCTTCCCGTTCCGTATAGAAGAACATTATTGCACAAATTACAAATACCCATACCTCCAGTACAAAAAGAATCAGTGGCTCCCATCCCTCCTTGGACATTTCCTAAACCGAAAATTTTGTATTCACTTGGAAAATTTCGCATTTTTATACCTTTTCATGTATACCAGCAGGAGTTTTTGAAAATAAAAAACGCACTCCCACAAGCGGCATTTATCTACACGGACGGATCAAGGAGCTCCAGGGGCGTGGGAGCTGCGTCTATATGTGGCCCTAACAAATTTCTTTTCTCTATACATCATTTCTGTAGGAACTATAGCGCTGAGCTACTAGCAATACGGAAATCTCTAAATTTTATATGTTCTGATAACAATAGTAGCTATAGTGATTTGCTCTATCGGCCTTACATGCCTTGGAACACCCCTATTCAGATGATCCTGGTGTGCAGGAGGTGCTGGCGTCACTGAAGAGCCTCCAACTGCAGGGAAAGAGCGTTTACTTCGCCTGAGTTCCTGGACATGTAAATATTAAAGGAAACCATTTGGCAGATGAAGCTGCAAAAGAAGCAGCCATTACAGGCCTTCAAATCAGGAACTTCCAAAGGGTGATATGACTGTAGTTTACAAGTCAAAAGTTAAGGGTCAATGGGAACAGGCCTGGACTAACATATCTGAAAACAAACTACGGGAAATAAAGAACTCTGCAGATGCATGGCCTACTTCATTCAGAAATAGTAGAAGGGAAGAAGTGGTTCTTGCACGGTTGAGGATTGGACACTGTAGAGCCACTAAGGGTCATTTGATGGGGCGAGAGGCAATTTGCGGAATGTGCATTTAAATCGTCACAATCAAACATATACTTACGTCATGCTCATTATATTCAGCCCATAGACGTCTACACTCCTTGCCTATAAGCATCCAAGAAATGCTAGGCGACAACAATGATAATATACGTAATTTGTTTGATTTTCTCAAATCAGCAAATCTACCCGACAAAATATGAGCTCACACTGTTTGTCCTTCTCTATATATACAAGATCAGATGTATAAAGATAAATTAAATAAGATAAATAAAGATAATAAGATAATAATAATTAGATATGACAATAATAAAGGTAATAAATAATAATAATTGATATAGAATAAAGATAAATAAATATAAATAGACAAATATACTAGGTCGACCGTCCACGTGGGTAGCTTTAATCTGTATGCCTCTTTCTACCTATTAGATAATGAGTTAGTCATTGGGACAATCATGACCCTTGGTGGTTGCGTTCCCCCCCCTTTAAAAAATAAATAATTTAAGTAGGTTTTTCAATTTTTCAACATAAAATACTCTACTTCTTTAATGTTTAATAAAGAATTTATTTAAAAATAGAGAAAAACGTTTAGAACGATCAGTCAATGACCCAAAGCGGTTGATCGCCTTTTATAATTTAAATAAATAACGAAATTCCACGGCCTAATTGCATAGACGTTGCACAGAAAGTAGAAAATCGATGACTGGGCGAACGATCGGAGTGATTACTAAAATAAAAAAATAAAACGGAAGGTTGCAACAGCAGTCATTGTGTATATTTTAGTTATAAAACAAATGCCAGCCTCTTTTAAAAACGTTTTGGATGAGTTTATTCAGGTCATATCAAATCGCGGCCATTGAAGTCAAAACTGTCCTGCTTCTTCATACAAAAGTGAGAGATAGCTTTCGGTGGGAAACTGAAATTACGTTCTGAAGAATCTCTGTTGATGGACCACATGTCAAATTGGCCAACGTTTTCAGTAATGTGCGGCATTGTATACTATCGTATTTATCAAATATATTCATGAAAACGAATCCGATTTCTTTGCATGGGACCAACTTTCGATGCTGAACAAAGTTCGCGCCATCAAAAGAAAAATCCACTTTTAGGATGAATCTGTTGAGAAGGAAGAGATTATTAAATTGCCAGTCTTGGTGAGAGTTGTTTTAGCATAAGTTTACTGTATCTAGCGCCCCTAAAGTTTATCCACTTTTGCTTTATTTGGATCCATTCTGTGATAGAGGATCTGCATTTTTTTAGAAGGAAGAGGTGGAGTGTTTTCCTGTGTTATTTTTTTTTTCTTAATAGAAAAACTGGAGCTTGCGAACGGCACGTTGATCGATGAAATATTTGAACACCTTCGAAGTTTGGAGATGTCCTTTGAAATGTCTTCTAAGTTTTTATTAGTCGACTGACCTTGAATTAAATTTATTATCGGTTCAATTGGCTTCTAGGCGTAGTTGTCTATTAAAGTCAACTGCCTTGGGCTTAATTTTCCTCTCGGCTCAACTGGCTTCTAAGCTCAACTGTCCGTTAAGCTCAGCTGCCCATTATTAGCTAGCAGCCCTGGATTTTACTAATTTGTTTTTGTATTCCCGCTACTAAGGGATTAAGAGACTATTAGGCCTCCTGGATGACTCGTTTAATATTCTGGGAAGGGATTTAGTTGAGAGGACGTAAACGTGACGTAAATCTTGAACGAAAGTAATGTTGAGGTCATTGTCAATGGTACGGTTAGAGAAGTATAGTTTGGATAATTCTCCTGAGGACTGTTGTTAGGAATGCTTGAATGAGATGGATATTGGATGGCTTCGTGGTACCCCACGTTCCTGCTCCGCATGCCCAAATAGGTTGAATTTTTGATTTTTTCGAGTGTTAGTGATGTTTGATTTTGGTTAGTTGTCATCTTAGTTGTCCAAGTAAATCAATTCTTGTCGCTCCGGGCTAGTGTGGGGATTCACTTCGGTCCGCTGTCTAGTTATTATAGTGCTAGTATTTCACTCGTGTTAATGACTGGAATTCCTTGTGTTGACGTATAGTATTTTTGGAGGTTTTGAGAGAATTTCTTGCTTGAGGATTTGTACAAACGAAATTTGACTTCTGTTTTGAGGTGGTGACATTCCAAGGTTTTGTTGTATATACTGTACTTAAGGTGCGTGATGTATATCAGGCTGAGGAATGAAGGTTGTTCAAGGTGACGTTGCCCCTGACCCAAGTTAGACGGCTAGGGGAACGGACTAAATGACATTTTAAATATTTTTGGTATTATTTTCTTCGTATGCCTAACATTTTGTCTTATTCCAAAGTTGACGTCCATTCGTTTGACCGTCGAAATGAGGTTACCAGTGGTAGCTTGGCAACAATCGATTGTTTTTGTCGTCTGTTGTCGATAATCGACAAACTGTCAGCACGTTCAGCAGAACTGATAAAAAATTGGAAAGTCGTGACAGAAGTCAGAACCGGCTTCCCCCACTCGTTAAACCAGTCATCTGTCTAATAGTTGTTTTTCAAAGGCGATTTTCTATTTTCAATCCCAGGCTTTTCCAGTTATCCTTGAGACAGACAATCAACAAGTGCAACCTTAACAATCAAGGTAACATGAATCATGTGGTCAAATCTCTAATGTCGAATTTACTTCTGCCAAAATGTACCTTGGCCGCTTGTTTGAGGTTCGTCATTACGCCCTGAGTAATGATAACATCCTGACAGCACTTGATATCTCGATATATCATAGATATAGATAGGATTTTTTTTGACCTCGTTCTTTTTGTTATTTGATTTCAATTTAATTTTCAGGCAGTGCTTACAGACCGGCAGTTGCTACCTGACGAACATGGCTATGAAGTCGCTAAAGGCCAGGTATATCTACGACTCCAGGGGGAATCCGACTGTAGAGGTATATTCCATTAAAAGCCCACTTAACAGAATTTTTTCATTATTGCTTTAATTGCTACACTTTTCCAACTTATTCAGCTGCAAACATGACATTCACAACATCGATAAATTAATTTAAAAAATATATTTTTTGAGTGATATATGTATGGCTATGCACAATAGGCTCACAGAACATGGAAAAACCCTGAAATGTGTCTGACCATGAGTTTGAAAACAAGGATTATGAGAAATCGTCTAAATTTTATAAAATCCATTCAGTCCACCCTGCAAAGTTTATCCACCCTTGTCCATCTTTAGAGGTTCTTTCTTTTTATCATTTTCTACCTTTAAAACCAACGGGAGATGGAAAAAACCCTGAAATATGTCTGGCCACGATAATGAGAATGGTATACCAGAATAATCAGAAATGGCTTAACTTTTTTATAAAGTCCCTCTGATTTTCTCAACCGCTTTTCATCTTCATTGGTTCGTCTGAGTTTAATTTCGTCATTTGTGTCTTCAAAATCTTTAAACCCACCGGAAGATGGAAAAAACCTGAAATATGTCTGGCCACGATAGTGATTATGGTATACCAGAATAATCAGAAATGGCCTAACTTTATTATAAAGTCCAATCAGTCCAAACCTCTGATTTTCTCAACCGCTCTTCATCTTCATTGGTTCGTCTGAGTTTAATTTCGTCATTTGTGTCTTCAATATCTCTAAACCCACCAGAAGATGGAAAAATTTTTAAATGTGTCTTTGGTGGTTGATTTTTGCGTTATAGTGCCTTTTTAGGTACATACATTTTTAAACTGACCACTGAAGGTGAAAAAACCCGCAATTCAGATTAAACAAATCAGAAAAGGGGAATCAGGATTATCAGAAATGGCCTAACTATAAATAAATTCTAATCAATCCACCCCTCAAAGTTTATCAACCCTTGTCCAAATTCAGTGGTTGGCCTGTTTTATTTCATCCATTCTGTCTTTTTTATAAGATATCAACACCTTTAAACCCACCACTGATTTAAAAAAACATACATTTGACAGACTGAAAAAATGAGTATATGCTAATGAGGAGTATCAGAAATGGCCTTACTATAAATAAATTCCAATCACGCCACCCCTCAAAGTTTATCAACCTTTATCAAAATTCATTAGATGACTGGGTTTTATTTTGTCAATTGCATCTTTTTTTAATAATGTATTGATACCTTTAAACCCACCACTAAAGATGAAAAAACCCTGAAGTATATCTGACCATGAGAGTGAGAACAGGTAGAGAATGATCAGGCTAATAAGGGTCAGAAATGACCTAACTACAAATAAATTTCAATTTATTAACCCTTGTCCAACTTCAATGATTATTTTTTATTGGTGAGTGGCCTTTTACTTGTTGGCTAGATCATTTTCTTCAGAGATAGTCATATCATCCTGTAAGTGTATGAACGACATTGCAGTGCACTATGAATGCTGTGGTCTTTTTTGTTTTAAATTATTTATTTATTTTTAATTCAGTTATAAATGCTGAAATCTATTCTTTCAATATTCAAAAATGTATAAATGGAAAGTTTTAAAAATTGTTATCAACAATTGACTATCTTCTTGTATTAAATAATAACGATTGGTTGACAGGAATAACATATTGTATAACTAAGAGATAAAAGATACTATTTTTTTTTCTTTCTACCTTTAGAGTTTTAAATATCTTTGATCTTGATGATCCCTTATCAGTGTTTAAAAAGTTATTAAAAAAAGTTTAAGATTAACATTCAGCAAGCTCTTATGTTTTAATTGGATTTAATTTTAAAGTTTTATAGCTCAAGTTTGAATTTATTTATAATTTAAAGTTAATGACCGTTATTCTCGGCAGTTCTTTACTTAAATAGCCTAGAATGGACAAATTTGTGAAAGCCATGTGAAATTTCAACAGATAAAAAAACTCATAAAGAAAAACCCATATTATAATTTTCATATATTAAACTCAGTAACACTACAGAACTTTAGGGTAGATTCTAAAGCTTTTACTCTTATCTTAGATGGGGATGAATCATTAAAGTGCCCAATTCTTGTATTATCCATGTTTGCAATACTATATTCTAATCCCATTATTTTCCTTGGATTTTTATATAAAAATTATTGGAATAAATATTGGAAAGTGGTGTGATCTGTCACTGACAACACCCAGTGGGTTGTCGGATGGTAAACTCTTCTTTATGACTGACATGAATTACTTTATAGAACTTGTAAGATAAAACTAGCCTGCATTAGTCTCATATCAGTGGTTTGTTCTTTTCTTTCAAATTTCTTCAGCTACACTGTCACTTGGTGTGGACATTGGGCATAGTTTATCAAGTTGACTTTTATGTAGTGATGTTCTATAAACCTTCCCTTGTTGGTAGAAAATCAAAATCATTAAATACACCCTTGACAGTAATGACTTTCAGTTTTAGTCTTGTAAATACTTTACGTTGAAAACTTTCAGGTTGATCTTGTGACTGAACACGGCCTTTTTCGTGCTGCCGTTCCTTCAGGTGCTAGCACCGGCGTCCACGAAGCTCTAGAACTTAGGGACAAGGTCAAGGACCAATGGCTTGGAAAAGGTGTGACGAAAGCTGTCGATAATGTCAACAAGGTCATCGCACCTGCCTTGCTGGCGAAGGTAAAACAATTTTTGAAGTGAAAACTTCTTTAGGCGTGCTCAGAACTTTTTTTGTGAGTATTGAATGAGACTGAGCCGTCACGCTCGAAGATGTAACGCTCATTCAGGTAGAATCGGCTCGAGTCGACTAAGCGTGAGAAAGACAGTCAGTAGAGCGAGAGAGAGAGAGAGAGAGAGAGAGAGAGAGAGAGAGAAATAGAGTCAAAGCGTCACCGCTGTATACGCGCCTGGCCGAATTCGGCACTGAATCCGGACTAACACGAATGAGCATTACATGAGGGAGCATGATGAAGCAGTCGCATTCAGTATCGATGCTAACTACAGTGCGCTTTACCAATACATTTCTGAAGCGAAAAGTTTTTCAAAATAATTATTGTGAATATAATTATTGAGAATAATTAATTATTCTTTGATTGTAATTCATCGTAATAATGCAATTGTGTAATTATCTGCAATATAATTCAATTGAATTCAATCTTATTTGAATTCAAAAGGCTATCACTTAACAAGCTTCAAACAATCACTGATGTTTTAATAAACTTCATTTCCAATAGAAAGGGCATATCAATATATTCATTAAATTGTCAAAGTTTACGGGCACATGCTTTGGATCTCGATGATACTGTTACACAACTTTCGACTATACTGATTTTATCTGAAACTTGGGTGGACAATGAAGAAAACGTCGATGTCCCGAATTTTGATTGTGTTGTGAAATTCAAAAGATCTGATCGCCGATCTGCAGGTGTAGCTATATTCAAAAATAAGAGAGACACGTCGACTCTTAGTTCGCTGATGGATGTCACACTTCAACATTCAGAAACATTTGGATTCAATATATCACCAATTGGCGAAATTTGTGTATCGAAATATATAATAGAAAATAGACAAGAAATTGTAATAGTAGCTATTTATATTTCACCTAATCAAAGTGTAAAAGACATCATCAAATTCATCCACGCAAACTTAATTATCTACACCAAAGAAGGATCTGCTCTTCTCGAAGAACATTTCCATACATTACCAATGATTATGAGTAGAGATTTCAATGTTGACTTCTCCAAAGATACATCAAAGCCTCTAGTGGATTTTTTAAAAACAAAATTAGATCTTAATATGTCCAATGATCCAAGTGAAAGTACAATGGAATATGGAACAACGATTGACGGGTTTTTGTGAGATATTTAGGAAATTCATTTCAATCAAAAGTATTTGTCTCATATTTCAGTTACCATAAACCAATAGTTTCGTTTCTAGAGTCTGATACCAACGACAATCAGTCAGAGCACAATCAAATTCCTATTACATTGTGATTATACAAAATAAAGAACAAAAATTGTATTTCGTATTGTTAATTTACCCTAATTTAAGTTTTCACTTCCACCATGTGCTCTAGACCTCACACCCAACTTATTTTTTTTTTTTTAATTGACTTTGAACTTTAAGCTTTTTCATGCTTGAATAGTTTTTTTAACCTGCCAGGGATTCGACGTGACTGAGCAGAACGCCATTGACAAATTCATGCTCGACCTGGATGGCAGTGAGAACAAGAAGAACCTCGGTGCTAACGCAATTTTAGGTGTTTCGCTTGCAGTTTGCAAAGCAGGCGCTGCCAAAAAGGGAGTACCTTTGTACAAGTAAGTACCAAAAATATTGAAATGTTAAAAAATAAATAAATAATTCTTTATATTTTTTCTAAGGCATATTGCGGACTTAGCAGGGAATGAACATTTGGTTTTGCCCGTCCCAGCATTCAATGTGATCAATGGTGGGGATCACGCTGGAAATCAACTTGCCATGCAGGAATTTATGATATTGCCAACGGGTCAGTTTGAGGTTTTAATATTGTAAATGTGTATGGCAAGTTTTTTTTTTTCTATGTTTAGGTGCAAAATCTTTCAGTGAGGCGATGAGAATGGGCTGTGAAGTCTACCACCATTTGAAAGCAGTGATCAAAGCAAAATTTGGCCTTGATGCCACTGCAGTAGGCGATGAAGGAGGATTCGCCCCGAATATTCTTGACAACAAAGAAGGACTCGTTTTAATTTCGACTGCAATTGAAAAAGCCGGTTACACAGGAAAAATAAGCATTGGAATGGACTGCGCTGCTTCTGAATTTTACAAGTAGGTCATATTAAGAGTAACAAAAAATTTATATATTTAATATTTAATAATGAAACAGGGATGGCAAATATGATCTGGCTTTTAAAAATCCCAAAGCCGATCCGAAATCGTACCTCTCGCCTAAACAGCTTACTGATCTATACAAGAGTTTCATCAATGAATACCCTATCGTGTCAATCGAGGATCCGTTCGACCAAGACCACTGGGACGCTTGGTCCGGACTGACCAACTCCACTTCGATTCAGATCGTCGGGGATGATCTGACTGTCACCAATCCTAAGAGGATTAATACGGCCGTGGAAAAGAAGGCTTGCAACTGCCTCCTTCTCAAAGTGAACCAGATCGGCACGGTTTCCGAGTCGATCGAGGCTCACTTGCTCGCGAAGAAAAACGGCTGGGGTACGATGGTCTCCCACAGGTCTGGTGAAACGGAGGATACATTTATTGCCGATTTAGTCGTTGGCCTCAGCACTGGACAGGTTTTTAATTATAATAAGATATAACCATTTAAATTAATATTTCATACAATCATTCTATATATTTTTTAGATCAAAACTGGAGCACCATGCAGATCAGAACGCTGTGCCAAATACAACCAGATTTTGAGAATTGAGGAGGAATTGGGGGCCAGTGCTAAATACGCTGGAGAAAATTTTAGAAACCCATCCTGCTGAATATAATACAACATTCATAGAAATCAAGTTGTATATTTTAATACTTTGTCATACCTACACAGGAAATAAAGACTTATTCTCTGCATTTTGCTATTTTTTTTTTTTTTTTTTTTTTTTTTTTTTTTTTTTTTTTGTTATTCTTATCTAAAAGGACTCGATGGCAGGAATGTTTAGAAAATTGACTTGGTGATTTGACCTTTGAGGATCTCAGGTACAAATCTTAGTGGACCTGAATTTAAAAATGGACTTTTTTAAGCACAGACACCCTGGCAGTTAATAAATATAGGAATTGAACCCACAACCGCAGGTTCTACTAGCCAAGAGGCTGTCACCACTCATCTACTGTGGTCCCCCCCCCAGCATTGACGACCCTGGAAATCTGAAGGGTCATAAATAAGCATAGAATGTGCAAATACTGCAAAGATGAGGCCTCCCAATACATTAATTATCAGATTAAAGGTAAGTAATCCAAATGGGAAATATACAACAAAAAGAGAAAAAAAATAAGTAAGCTAAGTTGAGTTGGCTTGAAGACAGTTAAGAAGAGGGTTTGGTTGAGTTTAGGCCATGTGAGCCAAAGAAATTAAGTTTAATCAAAGAAGTCAAGCTTTAAGATAAAGTTGAGCTTAGAATATAAGCTTGTCAGGTCTGTTCAGAAAACATTTAAGTTGAGAGGAAGATAAGCTTTTTCCATATGACCTAAAGGTGGTTCCAGACATGCGGTATTCACTAAAGTCTTGGATGCTCGTCTTGGCATTTGCCATGTGTGCCTATTATTTTTATGTTGGGTTTATACAACCAGCGTTAGTGAGGAAACAGCTAATATATATTTGACAAGTGTCATGCAGGTCTTCAAACTACCAATTGTGTTGAACAACAGTGAAACTGTCATTGCTGCACCTGCGGTTACTGTTTTTTATAGTGGCTACAAACTCAGTGACGTAGTTGCCCTATCTTACTTTCGAACCATTTACATGCATCGAAAACCTCATTCTGATTTTTTTGATTTGGAAGAGAAGCGTTCCAAATTATAGGTTCAGATTGGTACAGATCAAGGAACCCAAGTCTGTTATGTTGGGCCAATCCGTTCCTACCGATAGAAACAACGTTATGATGTTCTTTCATTAATACATCTATACTAGTTAGGAAATGTTTATTATTGAAAAATAAATAGCAGTATTGATGTAGAGTACAGTTGATTACCAAATGTGTAGGTTCTTTGTGTTTGGCTACTTCATGAACATTTGTGCAGTTTGAAGCAGACAAGGGGACATGAAATCGACAATTAGCCGAGCAAGGCAAGCACAGAATATTATTGCTCGGTGAATAGCCAAGCACCTGTCCCCACTAGTTGAAATTTTGCAAACCATCACTCAAACCAATTTGAAACTTAAAAATGGTACATATTTAGAAACCACCGGAATGTTAGAAAGAAGCTTTACCAACAAAAAAGAGATTGATTATTTATTTACAAAATTCAATTGTAAACAGAAATGAGAGATTTTATCTGTGATTTATTTTCCTATAATCCTTTAAAACGGACCAAATATTGTTGTAACATAATCAATGGAGGATTGTCTAATTGTAATAAGAATATTAAAGATAATTAAAAATATTGAGGCTGACCACTTTTTTGCCTATCAGTGTGTTTTATTTTTTATTATTATTATTTTTTTTTTCTTTAACGAGGGTTCAAAGATAGAAAAGTTTTATTGTGTTAAGTAAGTTTTGTCATTACATTCGTCAAGAATAGTGTAAATTCATTATTATCCTACTAATTAATACATGAAAAAAACTGCTTAAAGTCATAAAGGGCATTAACTGTGAGGAATTTTGTTATTTTAAGTTTAAAATTTTTCAGGTAATAGTTGACATCATTTGGTAGATTATTAAAAAATTTATAGCCCAATATTTACAAGATTTGTCACATCTTTTACGGTTCAGCCACTCAGGAATTATTTTATTACAGTTTACCGTATAGTGATTATGATTATAGTGATTAAATTTTTTTTAAGTCTCACTTTGTTTAACAATACATTGTAAGATATATAAACTGGGCAAAGGCAAAATGTTTAATTTAGTAAATGTTTCTCTGCAACATTCCCTATACTTTAAATTCCCTAAAATTTTCATAGCTTTACGTTGTTTTTTGAAGATTAGTTTGGCATGATTAGTGTGACCCCAGATCAATAAGGCATAAATAATATACGATTGTAAATAAGAAAAATAAACATTAATCGAAACTCTTTGACATTACGTTTGAGACTTCTCGGTTCGCAATAGCAGAGGTCATATCAACCATCGGGATGCCAGTACTTTTGAAAAAAACCCATTTGTAACTTTTAAAATTGTTACCTTGCAGTGATGAGCGCCGTGTTGACGTATTATCCGTTGTGACCACTGATGCACCTGTATTATTATTTTTGCTATTGTAATTAGTGTCTGAATGGATCGAAGTCACGGTAGCTCAAGTGGTAGGAGCGTTGGTGTATTGACCTGAAGGTTGTGGGTTCGAATCCTGTTTGTGGCACTAGCTTTTCCATTGCAAAGAAGACCTTACATAAAAAGAATAATTGAAAGAAGTAATTTGGTATATATATAATTTATTATTATTATTTTACTATGTTTATGAATTGTAAATTGTACCTTTAAAATAAATAAATAAAATGTGATGTTCATAAGCTTGGTATGAAAATTGACAACATGCCGCCCATCTCGGGGCTGGTGTAAAATTTGTGTAGCGACTTGATCGAATCTGTCCGGTTGTAAATAGTTTTAAATTGTTGCGAAAATTTGAAATAAAATTTTAAAAAGGACGTGGGAAAGCGGAATATTGTCACGTGGGGACATCTTCCAGGGATGTCGGTTTATTTTTCACAGCGACGGCAGCCCGCTCTGCACGGGCACCGGGCAGACTCGGCCACCAGTCGACCAGTCGAAATCCTAACCCAAAGGCCAGCGTCGTAAGGCGAAAAAACGCACAATTTCCCAGGATCGCGGAGTGTTTTTCCAATTTTCCAGGATCGGAGGGGCCCCGAGTGGAAACCGGCCGGATTTCCCCCGTTGGCGAAAAGCGTACCCGGACCGCGGACAAAGCCCGAGCCCGTTGTTTCCCCAGGTGAAAAAAATGGCTGGAAAGCCATAGTTTTTTCCCCCCTTGACTCTGCTTGCGTTTTCCCGACCCGATTTGACCGTATGAGTTAGCCCCGGTTTCCCTCGAATTTTCCCCCCTTTGTTTTTTTCATTTATTTCCTTTCCACCCCTCGTCTCACGGTTTTCCTCCCCCGGCCGGGGAGTGGGAAAATCCTCGGGTCGAAGGAAACAAGGACACTTTCCATCTGAACTGGAGGTGAGTCGTGCACGGTTGTTAATTTCCTTTCTTATTCACCGTGGCCGCTTTAAACTCTCGAAATGAAAAGTTCTAAGGAAAAAGCGAGACTTCACAGCCCCCTAAAATGGGCCGTTCAAAAACGATTGTTTGTGTTTGTTCTCTTGTAGGACGCCCCTCCCGAACAGACCCCGTTCACACTCGACGTTAACACAAACATTCGACAAACTCTTACAAAAACAAAACACAAACGATTATACAGTTTATATTTTCATTTTTTTAAAACAAATTCTGCCTCTTCATTTTCATTTTACCATAAAATTAATTTAAATCTGCATGGCGTGTTACTAAACAAACCCCTTTATTATTGTCTTTTGGTACTTCCAGCTTGAACGACCTTTGTACATAACTGACAAAAAAAAAGATCAAAACATAACTCAATTCTCGTGATATTTTTAATATTGAGATCACCAAAACATTTTGTTTTCATAGAATTTGACTAAATAAGCCAAACAATTTCATAATTTACCATATCATCTGCCATTTAAATCCTCAAAATACACAAAATAAAAACACTACCAATTGTAATTTGTACATATTACTCTCAGAAATGCAATCCTTGTTCGTTTTTATATCTCATTTTGTTTATAAACTGGACAATAATAATGCCAATGAAGGGAAAGATCATGGCAAACGAAAGTTTATTCCATGACTTCATAAATCCTCTAATATGTTTAGGTAAACAGATTTAACAATCTAGGTCACCGGTTACTATTACTGATAACTGATTTATATGAGAGTTGATGCTGGGTGTTGGTGTGCGAGTCGGTGAACCGGCATTGGGTCCGTCTTCACTCGCTGGTTTGTTGAACTGCTCATCAAGGTACAGTTCCTCATTGAAACGCGTTTGAGCAATTCAGCAAACCCACAAGTGAAGACGGACCCAATACTGGTTCAGCATGTGTACATGCACAAATCTGTGCATAAAAGGACAAACACGAGTGTACAGAGTTGAGCCTATCACTTCTCTCAGTTCAATTTACAATAAATTACCAGCCGGTCTTGATAATTGCCCAATATGGATGTTGGCAGTTGGGTATAAACTGCTAGGTCAGTTCAGCCCCCAACGCAATCAGTACCTAAATCAAAACACTCATATTCTCACCTTATTATTTACACACTATTCACTCAGTTACTTTACTATTACTGCAAAGAAATGCACTTTTTATTTGCTTTATATCAGTTTGTTTATAAACTCGACTACGATAATGCAAATGAAAGGAAAGACAAACAAAAGTATACTCCATGATTTTTTTAATTCTCTAGTAAGTTTAGATAAATATATTTAAAAATCAAATTTAACAATCTTGGTCACCAGTTTCTGTTGCTGATTACTGATCTATATGACAGTTGATGCTGGATTTTGGGCTGCAAGTCGGTGAGCATATGCTGAACTGGCATTGGTTCACTTATTGGGTCCGTCTTCACTTGTGCATTTGTTGAACTGCTTAAATCTTTCAGTGAAGACCTGTCCCTTGATATGCAGTTCAGCCAACCAGCAAGTAAAGATGGACCCAACAAGTGACCCAATGCCGGTTCAGCATGATTTATACATGCACAAATCTATGCATAAATGTACGTAAATACACTAGTGTACAGAGTTAGGTCAATCACTTATCTCAGTTCAACGGTAATCCCAGCTTTTGTTCAATTTAGAAAAAATTACCAGCAGGTTTTGATAATCGCCCACAACGGATGTTGGCCGTCCAGTGGGTATAAACAGCTAGGTCAGTTCTGCCCCCAACGCAATCAGTTCCTAAATCAAAACGTATTCTCACTCACTTTCTTATTTACGCACCATTCACTCAGTTTGGATGTTGGAGTACTCAGTTGCAGTTACTATTACTTTAACAAATAATTTACATAGTGCAAAAAAATGCATTTCTTATTTGCTTTATATTTCATTTTACTCCATGACTTCTTTAATTCTCTAGTATGTTTTGATATAAGATTTAACAATCTCAGTCAACTATTTCTGGTTATTGATTTATATGACAGTTGATGCTGAGGTTTGGTCTGCGAGTCAGTGAACTCATGCTGAACGAGCATTAAGTCACTTATTGGGCCCGCCTTCGCTTGTGGGTTGAACTACTCAAAAATGTTTCTTCGCACCATCTTCAGTGAGGAACTGTCCTAACTATATGCTAAATATGTAGTTCAGCCAACCACCAAGTAAAGGTGGACCCAACAAGTGACCCAATGCCAGTTCAGCATGATTTATACATGCTCAAATCTACATATGTTTACATACATATTTGTGGGTACAGAGTTCAACCTATCACTTCACTCAACAGTTCAGTAGGAATCCAAGCTTTTGGGTAATTTACAAAAAATTACCAGCAGGTTTTGATAATCGTCCACCGGGGATGTTGGCAGCCCAGGGGCTATAAACAGCTAGGTCATATCAGCCCCCAACACAATCAGTTCCTAAATCAAAACACACTCCTATTCTCATTAACTTTCTTAATTACACACCATTCGTTCAGTTGGAGTACTCAATTGCAGTTACTATTATTTTAACAAACAAAAATTATGTATTAGTGCAAAGAAATGCAATTCTTATTCACTTTATATGCCTTTTTTTTATGAAGTAGACTATGATACTGCCAACGAAGGAAAAGATATATTGGCAAATGAAAAGTATACTCCACGACTTCTTAAATTTTCTAGTAGGTTTAGATAAACAGATTTAAATATCAGATTGAACAATTTTAGTCACTGCAGTTTGCATTGGTGATTTATATAAGCTCAAACCTGCGCATACCCGCATATACAGAGTTGAGCGAATCACTTTTGCAATTTTAGTTTTTGTAATTTACAATAAATGGCCGGCAGGCCTCGAGAATCACCCACCTCGGGTGTTGGCAGTCTGGGGTCAAAGCTAGGTCTTATTCGTCCAGCCGCTGAGGTTGGGCTCCAGGGGTTTCAACAGCTAGGTTATAAACCAGCTTAAAATAAATTATTTTTTGTGCAATAAATGTTGTATGAAACTCTTTTTTTAATGTTTATTATGCGATTATTCAATCACACATTCAATATGGCATTGTGTGCCCAGGGAGTGCTTAAAAGTATATTACCCAACCAATTGTTCACACAAAAAAGAAATATTTGAACTAGGTTCTTCAAGGAGAAATGCAACAAACTTCGGGTTTTTTTTTTTTTTTTTTTTTTTTTTTTTAAATAAAGAGAAGGAAATTACACAGACAAATTTTAAAAAATTAGTTACATTTTTCAAAATCCTGCTTGGTGTTATTATTTTTTGTATTGTATTAAAATTTTGTATTTAATAAAGCTGGTAGAAAAAATCCAGTAATGCTTATACATTTTTTTTTTATTTGACAAAATCTTCATTATAGAGAAAATGGTCTGGCTTCTCATATGCAGCAAAAAATGAGTCTTTTACGTTATTTATCCAGTTTTACAACCAGTTTCTTTTTATATTTCCCCAATTTTTTTTTTTTAATGGTTTTATGTTCTGTGCATATTAGCCAATGACAAGTATTATGCGTATTTGTTTTGGACAGGGGAAGGGTAGTGTGAAAAAAAGGCCAGAGGCAACGGTGGGAATTGAACCCACGACTGCGGGGTCTTCGAGCTGAGAGTCTCTCACGCTCACTCGGCTACCTCGGCCCCCTTATTTCCACAATATAATTTATTTTATTTTATTGTCAACAATTAGGGAAGATCGATGAAGATTTATTCAAACTCGGAAGATACGACGATGGTTCGAATTATTATAATATAATTTTGTGTTTTTTAAATTGAGTAATTAAGAACAAATAGCAAAATATAAAAGCTTCGTTGAGTTTATGTGACAATTTTTAGGCATCATGTAAAAAAAGCTAAAATAAATCTTTTTAAATATATTGGAAGATTTTTTAATTTGATGAATTTAATGAAGCAGTGTATTTACCATTTATGCTAGCTTGGATTAAAAACATTAAATGGATTTCTTTACAACACTAAACTTGTAGACTAGAGAAAAATAATAATAAAAAAAAAAAAAATAAGTTTTCCAAAAACAAGAAATGACCAATTACATCAGCCCATAATAAAAATTAGTCAGTAAAACTTTTTTTCCAAAGTGCAAAATATGCATCAAGTAAGTTTCAGCATTTGGCTTATCTTTTGTAGTAACTTGCCAATCTACCATTCTATCGCTACAAACGACCGAATCAGTAGGAATTTCTGCATATCTAGGCATTATCTCATTTATAATTGTGTTTCCGTACGAACATTGATTGAATGGTCTGGTTTTTAGTCATCAGTTGTCAATACTGGACCAAATATTTAGACTGTATCTGCTAAATGCCTTGAAGTATTTCAAGCCCGGCATGCAATTATACACCCTTCAAAATTTTATAATCTATTTTAGGCTAAATTTCAAATTTTATTTATTGTTTAAACTTTCTTCATTGTTTTTAAGCGTTATCTTAAAGGTTTAGAATACTTAAATGCGCACTTTATTGATAGTATGACCTTCAAGTTTTTTAACTTAATCCTTTTTGTGTTTGTCCAACCTGCTTAGAATATAAATACATCATGTTATAAAATGACATGTGATGAAATGCCAAAAATCAGATTGTGTACATTATAATGGTTTTCAGGTGTTTTAAATGCTATTACGATGCCTCATGACATCGTATATCCACAAGGGTGCCGCCCTGTTTCTGAGGACCTCGGTGCCGACGAGCTTATACGGCGGCTTAAGGTATATTGTTAAGATTTTTATTTATTTAATTTTTTTGAAATGTATTTTTGTTATTTTAGACGTTGGCACACACCTTGCAGGCAATGGGGCAGGACGAGGGCATGTACCAGCAGTACATCCCCCTTGCCCTGCATCTTGTCGATGATTATTTCCTCTCCCATGAAAGTCGAGACGTGCAGCTTCTCATCGCGTGCTGCATAGCGGATGTATTGAGGGTCTACGCACCTCAGGCGCCGTACAAGGAGCAGGAGAAAGTCAAAGTAAAACGCTTTTACATCACCAAACGACAAATGTCTAATTTTTAAACATTTTTGCCTTCCAGACAATTTTTTTGTTTTTGATCAAGCAGCTTTCAGGGCTGAAAGATCCGCGGGATCCCGCATTCAAGCGCTACTTCTACCTACTTGAGAACCTTGCATATGTCAAGTCTTTCAATATGTGCTTCGAGCTGGAAGATTGTCAGGAGATTTTCTGCAATCTGTTCAGCCTTATGTTTAAGATAGTAAAGTATGTTTTATGTTATATTTTATTTTCTTAATTAAAACTAATAATTTTTTTTTATTATGTAAAGTGATGAACACTCGGGAAAAGTGAAAAGCTTTATGCTCGATGTCCTCTGCCCTCTGATCACTGAATCAGATATCGTATCAAGTGAACTGCTTGACATCATACTCATCAATATCGTTGAGCCACAAAAGAGCCAAAGGAAAAACGCATACCTCCTCGCGAAAGAGCTGGTCGTAAAAACCTGCGACACTCTCGAGCCTTATATCCAAATGGTTACAAAAATTCAATTGTACCAACGCATTTTTAATTCTAATTAAATTTTATTTTTATAGTTTTTCAACAATGTCCTGATAATTGGCAAGGTCGAAAAGGGGCTGCGCATATCGTCAAAGATATACGACTTGATTTACGAGCTGAATAAAATATGTCCGGCTGTACTCTTGGCCGTTTTGCCTCAACTCGAGGTGAAGCTGAAGTCGTCCGACGAGGAACAACGGCTCGGCGCGGTGAGCCTTCTCGCGCGTATGTTCTCAGAGAAGGACTCGACCCTGGCCAAGACCCATCAGCAGCTCTGGACGGCGTTCCTCGGCCGTTTCAACGACATAAACGTTTTTATCCGTATCAAGTGTGTACAGTATTCCATGCATTTTCTCCTAAATCATCCTGAACTGAGAAGGGACATAACCGAGACCCTTAAATTGAGACAGCACGACTCAGAGGAGAATGTGCGATACGAGGTACGATGCATAATTATTTTTTATGTTTTAATTATGTTTATTTCTACAACTTTTTCTTTAAGGTGGTAATGGCTATCGTCTCGACGGCAAAAAGAGATTTTGAAGTCGTCTCGGAAAGCGAAGATCTTTTAGAATTTGTCAAAGAAAGGATGCTCGATAAAAAAGTAACCTTTATTTTAATACTTTATTGTAATAAATCAATATAATTTTCATTATTATTTTTATTTATTTTGTTGACAGTTCAAAATTAGAAAAGAGGCGATGACAGGGCTTGCGATGATATACAGGAAGCATCTGAGCGATTCAGACGTCCCGCAGGCGACAAAGAAAGCGGTGACCTGGATTAAAGATAAAATTTTACATGGTTACTACATGACTAGCATGGAAGACCGCCTGCTTGTTGAAAGACTGCTGAACACTTCGCTAGTCCCGTTTCAGCTTTATCCAGAAGAAAGGATGAAAAAATTGTATTACCTGCTCGGCACGATCGACGATCACGCTACCAAAGCCTTCCTCGAAATACACAAACATCAACTTGTGTACGTATAATTTTTTTTTTTTTAATATAAATTTGTCTTATTTTGATCGGTTGTTTTGGTTTTTAGGGCTAGACGTAGTGTGGCCGAATGGCTCGAAATGCACCGTAAACCTCCGTCAGAAGAGCGAGACAAGGAGATGGTGACGAAAGTACAGCAGCTCTCCAAGTTCTTCCCCGACACGGTGAAAGCGGCAGAGTTCCTCAATAAGTTTTCACAGAACATGCTCAAAGACAGTACGCTCCTCCTCGGCATGGAGACGGTAGTCAAGCCTGACATCTCTTGCAAAGAGTGTGCAGAGACGACAAGCCTTTTATTAAAAAAGCTCGGCCAGCCTGTCATGTCCAACCTGTATTATAATACGATAAAAATCCTTCTCGAAAGGGTCTCTTCGGTAATGGTCGATCACCAAGCAATTAAAGTACGGTTCTTTTTAATTATAATAAATAATTTTATTAAGGATTGATTTTAAAAAGAAATGTTTTGTAGATACTCATTGGATACGTAGAAGATTGCTTGCGCGGTGGCAATCTGACAGAAGAAATCGGCCTCCATCCTGACACGGCTGGTCAGAGGGGTCTCAAAATCCTCGTGATGATGGCGTACGTTTTCCCGACTCATTTTCTTTACCCGGACATCATCGCTCATCTCATCTCCCTCCTCCAAATGGAGGTGGACAACGTCGGGCCGCTAGTCATGGAAGTACTGACCTTTCTCGGAAAGTTCCGTCCACTTTGTGAGTATTTAATTTAAATTTGTGCGTTTGAGTTGTTAATTTTTTTTTTTTTTATTATCGGTCATTCATAGCTGAACAGTTTCCTGACGAGATGAACCAATTGCTTCCTATTTGTGAAGAGTTCGCAGTCAACGGAACGCCGAAGCAGGCCAAACAGGCGATCCGTTGCCTGTACGTCAATCTCGGTGAGCACAACTCGCTCTTCAACGACATACTAACCGTAAGTTTAAAAAAAAAATTAAATTTGAAAAAAATTATATTTAATTTTTTTTATTTTAAATATTTAGAAAGTTAAGGCAAACCTGGTGCCAGAGTCAGGCAACTACCTCACTGCCATAGTGGCGCTAGGCCACATAGCACAGAACTTACCTGACAAATTTCCAGTCCACATCAAAGTCGTAATTTCACGGAAAGTAAGTCACAGTACTTTTTATTTTTTATTCATAAAAATTTATAATCATACACTTCATGAAAATAATGTCTGTTTGGTAACTTTTTTTTTTTTTTAATTAGAAAGTTGTGTAAACTTCAACCGTGTAAGTTTGAAATTTTAACAGTAAAACATATAAATAACTTAATTTTATTTGCCTGGAATATTATGAACTTGTGTCAGCAGTTTTAAGTTTTAACTTATGATTTTTGGTCTATTTACTGGAAACTTATTGAAGATGGTATAAATCAAAACTGAATGACTGACGGGGAATAAAGAAGGTAAAATTGAGCTAGAAATTTTTACAAATTGCTGATAAATGAAAAAAAAAGAGCACAAAATTTTCATGATTTTGAGTTAGTGATGACTTAAGATATGATTTATAGGAAATAAAATGTTTTGTGTAAATTGTGTCTGTATTGATTTTTTTAAAATTTTTTATTTATTATTTTTATTATATTTTTTTATTTTTGCAGATTGTAAAAGAGCTGCTGGTGAAAAGTTCCGAAACAGAGACCACTGTACCGCTTGATGCGTGTTGGTGCGAAGAGGACCAACTCCCTTTTGAGAGCAAATGCAAAGTTGAAGCACTCAAGGCGATGGCGAGGTGGCTCCTCGGCCTCAAGACGGACACTCTCTCGGCGCAGAAGACTTTCCGAATGCTCACGGCTTTCATCGCGAACAAAGGCGACCTTCTCCAATGCGGTAAACTGAGTAAAGCAGAGATGGCCTGGCTCCGTCTCACGGCCGGCTGTGCTATGCTTAAAATCTGCGAGCAGAAGGGCGTCGGCGATCAGTACTTCGCCGATCAGTTTTACACGCTATCCACATTAGCAAATGTAATTTTTTATCTTTTAGAATAAATTTTCGACGTTTTTATTTATTTATTTTTATTTCAGGACGAGGTTCCGCAAGTTCGGGAGAAATTCCTTTTCAAACTGCACAAAGGCTTGGCAAGGGGGTTGCCGAGTAAGTGCCTACCGCTCGATTTCATGGGCTTCTATTCGCTGTACGGTATGGAGAAAGACAAGAAGCTCAAGGCGAAATCGAAACAGTTCATGGTGGCCGACATCGCCAAAAGGCGAGAATACGCCAAGGGTATCACAATGGGCTGTATAGGTAAATAGACAACAATTAATAACGTTTTGTCTATTATTTTACATAAATTTCAATAAAAACTAACTTTATGAAGATTTGTGTGGTGGTTAGTGACCGTTAATCGATAATTATTCAGAAATCGTGAGATGCGGTCTGGTGTGATGTAGGTTTCAGAAAAACATTTTCTTTATCGTGCCAACGTTTCAATCTTTATTGAGATCATCTTCATGGCCTGGAATTTACAAACATTGTTTAAATTTAACAAATACATGTAGGATGTGGAAAAAAGTGAATTTATGCAATGCAAAAAAAATAATTTTTTTTTTCAATCAAAGTATTTCCACTCAATCAAAGTGTTTGTTTTCTGTGTAATTGTGCCATTCTTGCGTCGGGAGTGCCAGTGAGATTTTGCTATTTTGTGTTTATATACGTTGGGTTTCGAATGGGTGGGGAAGGATGTCGGTATAGAAAAGACATTTTTGTATAAGGCGTCGGTTTCTTTGAGGTGAAAGGAGCCGACGAAGGGAAAAAATGTGTTGGTAATGGTTCGGCCAGATTATCCTTTCAGGATTATATAGAAGGGGATAAATAAGAAAAGGAAAGTTAAATTGTTGAAAAATTAGACTATGTGAAAAATTTTTAATGATGTAAGGTTATATACGCATGTTATCTATACTGAATTTGATTAATGATATTGACGTAGCTGCGACTGAGTTTACATATATCTGTTCTGTAATTGATGCTGTGTTTATCTCTGTTGATGTTAACCATTTCTAAAAACTTACGTTTATGTTTGTTTTGTTCTGAGTGTAATATTTTTGGATTGTTGAAGTCGAACTTGTGTTTGTGTTCAAAATGGTGGGTAGCGAGTGCTGTAGGATTTTGTTTGGGTTTTTTGCAATCGTAGATATGTTGCTTTACTCTCTTGTCCAGATATTAGGATGTAAGACCGATGTAAGTTGTCGGACAGTTTAAACAGTTGATTTTGTAGATTACGTCAGATTTGTTTGTTATTGGTGTGGGATCTTTAATTTTAGAAAAAAGAGTTTGAATTGTTTTATAATTTTTGAAAGCTATTTTGAAGTTATCGGACGAGAGAAATGTGTTTAATTTATGTGATCAGTGTAGTTGATTATTCTGTTAATTATGTGTTTAGGGTAGAGATTGTTATGGAGGATCTGTTTGTATATCTTTATGTTCTTGTGGTGAAATGATTCATGGCTTAGGGTAATCATTCTGTGAAGTAACCCTTTGGCCGTGTTTATTATTGTATGAAGAGGATGGTGAGATGTAAAGTTGAGCGATCTGTGTTTCTTGGTTTTTGATACCAATCTGTGATTAATGTGCCATCTGGTTGTTTTATTACGAGTGTATCTAAAAATGGTATTGTTTTGTTGTTTTCGATTTCATGTGTAAATTGTAGGCGTGGTTGAAAGCTATTAAATGTATCTAATGTAGTTTGACTTTGATCTGTGGGAACAGCTGTCAATATATCATCTATGTATTTAGTGAGGATGGGTAATGTGAAAGGAAGTTGTGGTATGACTGTAGTTAATAGATGTATCATGATTATGTCTGCAAGTATCGGGCCTAGGTTGTTACCCATGGCTATACCAAATAGTTGTTCATAAAATTGATTGTCGTATGTAAAATATCCGTTAACACAGCAGTGTCGGATCATTGTTAACGGATATTTTACATACGATTTCTGAATAATTAATTTATGAAGATTATATTTTAATTTTATATTATTTAACTCGATCCATTTAGTTGTCAATATTTCATTCTGTATTTAGATGACTGGTCCTGTTTTCATATCTTCTTCTATCAACTAAAGTGCTTACTTTAGAGAAAATATGCCATGGTAAGCATGAAAAAAACAAACAATAAAAGTAGGAGGCAAAATCTGGGCTTTAATAATTATTAATGTAATATTAGAATTTTCCTTGTCGGGTTTTCGTTTGACAATAACAAAGCAAAAACTAATTAAATTGTCTGAGTGCATGTATTTATTAGCGTGAATGGCGAGGGGTGAGGGTGAAACAACGTCATCATCGCCCCTCGAACGTTGAGAGCGTATGAGTGTGTGTTCGGGGTCGATGGCGGAATATTTATAAAAGTACTCCATCGACCCCAATCTAGATTAGTTTGAGTATAGGTCGGTGGAGGAATGTCAAGTACTCCACCGACCAAACGGAATGAGTGTACTGTATGGATGTATTTGTGTGTATGAATGTAGTATTTGAAAGGGTAAATAGAATGTAAACTTAGTTAGGGGCTGAAATGACGTAGGTGTCGGAGGCCCCAGCCAAAAAAAAAAAATTACATTTGGCTTCTGAAATAAATTATGCCACTAAATTTTGACACAAATTAGGTAGGAATAATAACAAAACATTTGATGTTTTTGTTTTATTAATTTAAAATTTACTTTCAATATGCTCGAGCGTGATATAAAAACGATATTTTGTTACATTACTATCTAAATATAAGTATAAATCAATATATTAAAAAAAATAATAAAAAACACTAAACCTTTTACTCTCTTTAGATAAAAAAATAAATAAAATCAGTGCAATTTGTGAGACCAAACGAGGTACATAATACACATTACTAAGAGCAAAACTATGTAATTAATTGTTAGTTAATTTTTAAACTATCACTAAATGATATTCCGGTCTTTTGGGAAATTTTCTATCAAGCCATCATAATTAAATCATTTTTATTAAAACTTCATGAATTTCTGATTTCGTTTAATTTAGTTTACATTAATATGTTGTAATTAATATAACGATAAAAATATATTTTATTTGAAGTAAACTAGATAGATTGAAGGCCAAAAGAACAATAAATGACGGCTTATATAAATCCCTGATCATCATGATCTGCCTATACTGGTTTTGCCTCTAGGCCTGTCTTAGTAAAGCACAGACGATGTTGAAACACACCTGACAGACAGGAACTGATGACAGCAGGTAGATCAGCGCGGGGTTGATCAATTTGTAGGCTTATGGAACAATCCACATTTGCCTAGTGGTCATAATCGACTTTACTAATTCCAATTGATTATTCTATCAAAGATTTTTGGTTGAGATGAAAAATTAGCCGAAGGTCATGGGAATCCTGCTCATGATATTAATTTTTCATCTAAACCAAAAACCTTATATAAAAAGAATAATCATCTGAACTGATTTTTTTTTCTTATGTTGGTTTATTGTTAATCTAATTTAAAATTTAATTATGTTCTTTGATCCACTGCGATCAATGTTAAAAGAAGTCGGCATCTTTACAACCTTGCGCACCATGACCAATACTGATTTATCGTGCAATCTGTATTACTATCTAGAGCTCTTCGTTAACCGTTTTTTTTTTTTTTTTTTAATTAAATCCCAAAATTCTGCTTATTACCCTCCGTGTACCCTTCAGGCGTTGGCTTTTCCTCTCCTTGGAATGCACATCTCAGACTGAATAGGAGGATGGAGGACATCTTTCTTCTTCTTTCTGGTAATGCACAGGATTGTTTTTGCTGCTCTGAGCCGATAAATAAGTCTACAGTGTCTAGTCAGCACTCATACTATCATTCAAATCCTAGGTTTAGTAAATCTGTTGTTAGTTTCTACAAAATTCTTTGAAAAAAAATTTCCCATCCCTGAGATACAATCTCTTTGTGCTATGGATTTATTTTTAATTATCTGTTGGATCTACATTTTAGACAATTTGGTATATGGAAAAAAAAAGTTCATGGCTATTATGTGTCTTGATTGAAGTCATTAGCCAAATTTTCATCCTCCTCGTTGCTCCTCTGCCCTGTTATCAAATTTACAGTAATTTTGTTGTTTTCCCCAATGTCAGACAGGGTCTTGATGCAATTTCAAGCTTCTGGACTTTACCGATGAGGACCCTGTAGTGCCGCCTGTCTGTCCAAGTTAATGGCTATTCTTTTGCTGATTATCCAACCCTTTGATCTCGCTGGTAGTGTTCACTAGCAACATAAATCGAAAAAAGGCAAACAAAAATACATAATCATGGAATATATTTAAATTTTAAAAATTTTTAATATGTTTAACTTTATAAGATTATTATTATATTATACTTTTTATTTATTTTTTTTCAGGCGGAACTGACACAGCACTTGAGAAGCTAGGTTACATCCTTCCAGATTACATGGTTTTGTTTTCAATCGCTGTACTTTCTCATTGTCCACAGTTCTCTTCAATAACCGACACCGAATCTTTACAGGTATTTTTTTTTTTTTTTTTAATTTTTAATGTGACTGGTATTCACTAATTCATTTTTTTACCCTAAAAGTTGATGAAGTCCTGTCTCTGGCATGTATTAGAGCCTCTCCTGTCAAAGAACGATTTCTACTCGTTCTCATTCTACAAGGACATAATAGACAAGACGAAACTCTCAAAGGACGCTCTCAACGTCGACAACGAAGTCGCGAACCAGAAAATCTGGGCTCTGTGCGATTTGGCCATGGCGCTCCTGCTTCAGAAGACGACTAACTTCGATTTCAAGGAGATCCCGCCTGTCACAAGGATACCTCGTCTATACTTCAAGAGAGTCGACGACCCTCTCTTTGTAAATAACCACATGTACATTCCCGCGGAATTCCAATATAAGGTGTGTATTGATTTCTAGTTTGTACGTATACATTTTTTTTCCCCTGAGAATAAATTAATTTAAAATTTAAAGGGGCCACTTTCGTCGAAGAGTTCATCCACCTCGTCTGCACCGTCTGCACAGGACCAGCACCAGCAAGGGAAAAGGACAAGGAAAAGACCCGTGAAGGGCATCGGCCCTAACGAAACGGACGCAGAGGTGACAATCGCTCTTATAACACACTATAAATTATATTTTATTTTTAATATTACAAATTTAAATTTGAGTTATTTATTACAAGCAGTCCAAAGGATCGACAGAAATTGATACAATGGTAATATATAGCTTTAAATTTAATGACATTAATAACAAGAGAGAAATTTTTGTGCTAAACAAAATTAAAAATTTGACTTATTTATAAGGTTTCTCTTGAGGTATCGAAAATTTATGTTTATTGTCAAGGAAATCTTATGTAAAAAAAAATTACATAAATTATGTATAATTTATATTTAATTGAATATTATTAATTCCAGCCTGCATCTGCATCCGATACACAAATAGTGCTTTTAGCTATGGATGAAGGGGTATGTTTTCATCAACTAAATATCATCCTTTGTGTTAATTAATTAATTAATTTTTTAAAATAATTTTTTAGTCTGATGATAATGAACCGACATCGAGGCCGAAAAGAAAAAAAGCAGAAAAGAAGTGAAGCTTTTGTCTGGGATATAAATGGGGAGGGGGGGATCTTCAATATTTATTTTTGTATAAAAGGAGAGAGATAGGGGGGATTGGGAAAGGACTGATAAGCATCTTATTTCCCTTCTGTTTTTATTTTAATTTTAATTGTTAATGAATTTAGTTAATTTTAAGGGTTTTTTTGTTTGTAATTTTTATTTTAATTTTTTAAATTTTGAGAACATGCTGCAAAACTAAAATTGGGTGATAATCAGTCCAATGAGTACAATCGGATTTGTATATAATGTCGCACCGCAAATTGAATGGAACACGTTCAAAATCAATTAAACAAAAATAGAACATGTAATAAAATTATCAAGGAGAAAAAAAATCACCTACGGTTTTTAATTATTATTTGTATGAATAATTAGCATTAAAAACTTGAACTTTATAATTGTACATTTTGGACAAAATATAATAATAAAATTTACATAATCATACATATTATTGTGACCCTTGCTCTTTACCTAATCTGCCGATTCTTATATTTATAACATAATAGACAATTTTTATTTTGAAAAAATCGATTTTATTCATTCAAATAGTAAATAATCACCTACAGGAACAAACTTGATACCTTTTGTAAAAATATATATATCAAACCTTTTAAAATTTGATATTTTAAATAAAAATGAAATAAACATGATGAATTTAATATTGTATTTTATTTAACACGTGTCTTATAGCAATGATTTGACATAGAACTCTTAAAATATGTGACTTTGAAAGGCATTGCAAGGGGTAGGGGGGTGATGAACCTATAATTTGGTCATTATTGATAATTTTGCTCACTAATCTTTTGTGTTTTTAGTCAGCTCTGTCCATTTATAAGGCTTACCTCAAGGGATCAAAAAACCCGGTTTTGGGCAGTATATGCTGGCTATTTTAATCTGCCCTGGCGCTTTTAGGCTTTTCATCATCTTCATTGGTCGACGTGTGTGTTATTCTGTCAGCTGTGTCTTTTATGAGGTGTCAAAACCTCAGGGGATCAAAAAACCACACTGGTTTTAGTCAGTTATGCTGGCTATTTTAATCTGTCCGGCGCTTTCGACTTCTCGCCATCTTCATTGGCTGACCTGTGTGTTATTCTGTTAGCTGCGTCTTTTATGAGGTGTCAAAAAACCATCCTGGTTTGGTCAGCCTATCCTAGCTATTTTAATCTGTCTGGCGCTTTCAGCTTCTCGCCATCATCATTAATTGACCTGTGCAGTATTCTGTCAGCTGTCCTTTCCTTCTTCTATAAGGTGTCAAAACCTCAGGGGATCATGAAACCATCATGGCTTTGGTCAGACCATCTGTGCTCTTTTAGTCTATCAGGCGCATTTAGGCTTCTCGCCATCTTCATTGATGTAATAACAAAAGAGGTAGGTAAGATGTACTGGCGCCATGTATTTTGCGTATTGTATTGGCCCTGAGTGCCAATAGACTACTGATATGCAGGGAAATAAAGCCAGATCTAAAGAGGAGACAATGAAAAATTCTGGAAAGAATTAAATGAGATGGCTGACAATACCTGACAAAATAGAGAAAAGCTCAACTTTCACACTCTTTCAAGTGGTCATAAGGTAAAGACCTTTGGAAGAAAAGTAGTCCCAAGTTTCAGGAAAGGGCCCTAATACGGTACAAGGATGGATCGTGGATGAAACAGGGAGAAGATTTAGGGGTAAAAGGGCCAAACTATACCCTAGCAAAACCCTTGGACTAACCCGACTATTTTCCAAGCTGAGGTCCATCAATTCATCTCTGTGTACGAGGAGGTAAGGTCAAGAAAAAGTCACTCAATCATTAGGCAGCATACAAAGACAAGCAAACCTATGTACCACAGAGGCAACTTGAACAAACTCTACAAGTGCACTAGAAACTGCTAAACCTACCTCCACTGATAACATTTATATAAGAAGAGGCTAGGAAAAGCTCATTTAGGCTCCAAAAATAATCAAATTGGATAGAAACTAAACAATTTGGTCATACAACAATGATTAATAAAATCAGACACCCATTCTTAGAAATCCCGGAAACATTATAACATCCTATAAAGTCGCAATGGACTATAAAGGAGAGGAAGAACACAGGAGAGCATCAGATACGATGGTACAGTATACAGATGATTCCAAAACAAACGAAGGAACCAGATCGGGCATTTTCTGTCCCAAGCCAACATGAGCAATCAAACTCATTAGGGAAGTACACTTTGGTCTTTCAAGCAGAGATACATGCAATCAACCCTTGTGCCCTAAAACATCTTAAAAGAGGTTACACTGGCAAAATCATCCTCATAAGATCTGATAGCCAAGCAGCCATTAAAGCATTAGCATGTAAAAAAAATCACATCAAAATTAGTCAGTGAATGCATCCCAAATCTCCAAAACCTGGGGAAACTACCTGATGATATCTCGGGTGCCAGAGTAATTTTGGGTTATGAGAAAGAAGACAGTCTGGCCAGAGGATCTGTAAGACCATGTATATGCCCCAAACCTATAATTGGGATTACAAAAACAAATATAGAATCCTCCATCGCAAAATGGATCCAAACAAAACATAAGTAGAAGTGGATAAACTCTAGCGGCACTAAACACAGTAAACGTATGATGAAACAACCCTCACCAAAACTGGCAAACTCACTGCTGCAATTGGAGAGGGCTAAACTCCGAGGAATGGTAGGACTACTAACCGGTGTCTGGCATCTGAGAAAACATCTACACATGGGCATATAAAAAGATGATCCCATCTGCAGGTTATACAGTGAGGAGGAGGAAACAGCCACCCATATCATCTTTGGATGAAGCAAAAGTTAAATGGAGATTTAACCTAACATACGAAAAAAAAAAAATCTAGGGAATGAAATGGTAGCAGCGACAGTCAATGACCTATTACTTCTAAGAAGGTTTGAGTCTGTTGCACTGAACTAAGGAACTAGGAAGGTACACTAAGCCAGAAGGCTGCAGTGCCTGTGGAGCACAAACCTCGCTTCCTAGTATCCTTATTACCATACCATAACAGGAGGTAATAAAGAAATGAAAGGTATATATTACATTCTCCCAGACTGCCAGATACTATAAGAGTTCTAAATGTGTATGTTCTAAACTCCAAACTTATCTGCCTAACTTCATCCATATGATCAGAATCACAACTAGTTGTACTGGAGTGTGTGCTTACATTGGAATTGGAAAAATGTCTTGAGAAAGAAAACCTCATTCACTGGTCAAAATGGTATACTGCACTGGTATAAGGCAAGCAATGAGATTAATAAATCTCTCAAAAAGGAAGGCGAAGGGTTTGAGGAAAATTAAAGGCTGGCCTCTGTACCAGCCACCGCTCTCTTAACTACCAACTAAAGAAGATGGGAAAACAGAGACATACCAACAATGTCAGGAGGAAAAAGAGACATCGGCGTATATCCTTTGTGAATGTGAAGCAGCATTAGCCAGGGTACGGTACAGCCATTTTGGTAAGGCAATGCTCACACCAAAATCAGTGTACATAGAAGCACTGAAAAAAGTGCACTTTTCAAGGTATGGTTATATTTTATAAAGGTTCCACAATAGATAAGTCGCAGTGAAGGAAAGGATTTTTAAAATTCTTATTCTACCAAAAAAAATTCATACCGCAGGGATTGTAAGGGGTGTGAAGAGTGTTTATATCTAAGAATTTTCTTTCAAAGTGCAGGTTTGGGAAAGTATTGTAAAGAAATGGTCAAAAGATGATGCCTTGTGGTACACCTGCATTAAGTTCTTTAGGCAAAGATAGACCATCTATTTTTACCAAGAAACATTTTCTTTTTTTCCAAATAATTTTGTATCTGTGTCAACTCGTAAGGACTTCTTAATTTTGTTTGCCTTGAAGCTTCGTCCAGCTCAGAACACTTTGTCCACTTTTGCAGCATTTCCTGCCTATTGCATTCCATCAATGATGCTTCTTCAATTCTTTACTTTTAAAACCCTATTATTATCTTCTGAGAAAATAATAAGCATTATTATTTCTCTGCTAGTGTTCAGAGCCCCATGCTGACATTACCTTTTGTATGTAGATCCTCAGTTTTAAAGGATTTTCATCTTTTAACTGTGAGAACCAGAAAAATCTGAAACTAGTAGCAATTATCCAACATCCCATAATAGGGATGTGCAGGGTGTCAAGAAGAAAAAGGATGTGGTACAATGATCTGATTAAACAATTTTACATGGTGGAGTATTCTATATTCCTCCATCACCTTTTACATATATTGTTTGTACTATATTATAACAAATCTAATGGGTTGATGATGTACTCAATATCCCACCATCTACCCTCTCACACCACACATTCACTCTTATAAATACATTCACTCTCAATATACACAAAATGAATATCCATAAGTACTGCATACAATAAAACAGCCATTTTTCATCTAATAATCGGAAGTTGACCTAGACTTGCTCCTGTGCTTAAGCACCGGGTCGCATTCCTGTACTCGATATTCCTCCATCACCTTTTTCATATATTGTTTGTACTATAAAACTAATCTAATGGGTCGATGGGGTACTCAATATTCCACCATCTGCCCTCTCACAATACACATTCACTCTTATAAATACATTCATTCTCAAAACAAACAAAAGGGAACACAAATTGAAATATCCATAAGTGCTATATATAATAAAACAGCTATTTTCCTCTAAAAATCGGAACTGTTGACCCAGACTTGTTCCTGTGCTTAAGCATCAATTAACTGGGATACATAGAGAAACTAGGACGTATACGCGAGGTTTGGCCCAAAAATAAGTGCCCTTGTGTCAACCTAGTATGGTTTATCCTTAGTCGGGTGAATATGATACTATTTCTTTGATTCAGATCCTTCAAGGGCCACCTATCGATCGTAATATTGATACGCGAAAGCTTTTCTGCCGATCCGACCCACCGACGCTGCTATTTCCTTTTAATCGTGTTTGGATTGTATTTTTTAGCGTACGGAGGTTGGGCCTTTTCTTTATTCTTTCCAAAAGAGGGAAATTGGGCTGAAGCACCCTCATGTTTACATCTTGTATGTAGACACAACATTTTCTCCATTAGCTTTAAGAATATACTTATACCTTAGACCAAGAAGTCATCTGATTGGTAAAGACATGTATCTTTTTGCCTTTTATTTTTCTAATGACAAATTTTTCAAAGGTTCCTTCATCTTTTAGGGCATTTTTATGGATCTGTAATAATTTATTTAATACATATTACGACATAGAAACCTAAA